TGGAAATATACCGAAGCAAAATACCAACGACGTGCCGAATGCCTCCATATACATATATTATACAGAAACACTTACCATCTTGAAGAATACAATCACCAAGCATAATATAAGTTTTTTTATCATCACTTCAATCGACCGTCTGTACGTGATGAAGTTTAGAACGAGACTGCTCATTGTTTTGATTCATCATTCGAATTACTCATTAGTTACGTCATCCTTTCAACCGATTAATTCTCGAACATGTATGACTTATTTATTCCGATATCGATAGTAGTGGAGTGAAAAAAAATGTTAGGGTCTTTTCTTTCATTTTCTTATCTATACGAGGTGTTTTTGAAATGAGTTCATATATTCATATCATATATCGTTTACTTTGAAATTCTATTTGTTGGCGTTTTTATTCGTCAATGTGTTTCATTCGTTCCTACAAAATTAGTTCAAAATATTGAACACTGTCTATGCTAGACAAAAAAACTTGACGAGATTGAAAATGCCGAAACTTCATTATTTCAAATAGAACATCCTGTATTTTTTACGGTAACGGTTCCAGATACAAATTTCCCTCAATTTTCATGAAGTATGTTCTATACCTTAATTTTGCCGTTTTCGATATACCTATATTTTTCGAAAACTGACAAACATAACCTCAATAAAGTATATATGTTTCAAATCAGAAGAAAGTGCTCTTCCGATTAGAAAAATGAAATACAGGGTGTGTTAGCGACTAGCAACTAGATGCGCTACTGCTCAGTGGAATGTGCTTAGATCAGAGCCTATGACAGCATGTGTGAAGCTGGCAGGCAGCCGAATTAAGAGCAAGTGTAACCCTTGTCCACGTCATTTGTACTCGTGTTTATTGAATTGTAATCATAATATAACAGGGTGTTCAAATATAATAAAATGGCGAGCTATTGGCACTCCACATGCAAAGATGTTCCATTCTGCAACTTGCTATATACAGGGTGAGTCATGAGGAACTGTACATACTCTTACTATGAATAGTGGGCCTTGAGGGGAATACCTAATGACCATTAGAAAGTTTCTTCCTCTCTTCTCTACCAATATATGGGGTGAATTATGAGATTTGACAAAAACATCTTTTGGGCATAACTTTTCAACAGCTCCTTCGATTCGTCTGATTTTTTCATGGAATATTCCTCTAATAAACCCCAATCGACTGACATTTCCAGAATCGGGAAAATCCAGGACGTTTTTGAAAAATTCTGATAGTCAAGTTTTTATCAAAAAGAAGGACCACTTATGTATTTGTCTGTAGTTGACTTTCGTTTGAATGTGGTTTTATTACCCTTTTTTATAATTATTTCCAGCGACAAGACAATACACTTCATTTGACTTTAATCTGTCACAGAGGGAATTTCCAAAGCACACAAACAAGCATCAAAAATAAAATATTCAAAATTGTCCTCACACTTCCACAGAATTTTTCAAAAAACGATGAATTATAAGCAAAAAGGAAAGTTTGACAACAAATTCATTCATTCGCAAATAATTACTTCGCAACGCCTGGATTTCGTCATTTCATTTTTGTGGAGGGTAATAATCACCCTGTAGATCTTTTTCAAATCAGTGGATGGGGTATCTATTTAGATGTTAATGGTCATCGATTCAAATAATTCAATATATAGTCGAACAGTAAATAAATGTTTATCCACAATTATTTTTCAAAGGCTATACTGACAAGGGCGGATAATATTTCTAGTACGGAAAATAAGTGACCAAATTAACTGACTAAAACAAATCGAATAGATGAAACTGTGAATTGAAATCATGAAATTATATATAGCGATGGTCATCAACATTTTCACAGATACCCCATCCACTGATTCGAAAAAGATCTACAGGGTGATTATTATCCTCCACAAAAAAATATATTTACTAAATCCAGGCCTGAAAATAAAATAATATGTTGATTTCCATTGAGCTGAAGCATTGAAATTGTAAGTCTCACTTTTGTTCGTAAAATATAGGTTGCGAAGTATTGATTTCCAAATAAATACATTTTTGGCCCAAATTTTCGTTTTTTCATAAAATTCATAGTTTATTTCAAACTGCAGTGAAAGTGTGAGGAACATTTGAAATATTTTATTTTTGTGGTTTTATTGTGACCTTTGAAAATTCCCCATCACAGTTTACAAAAACGATATACAGGATGAACTTTTTGCTATAAACTAAACTATCAAAATTTTTCAAGAACGGTCCTGGATTTTTCCGATTTTGAATGAGTCAGTCGATTAGAGAGTAGTAGCGGAATATTCCATGAAAAAATCAGACGAATCGAAGAAGCTGTCGGAAAGTTATGACCAAAAGATGTTTTTGCCAAATCTCATAATTCACCCTATATATTGGAAAAGAAATTAAGAAGACACTTTCTGATGGACATTAGGTATTCCCCTCAGGGGCCCCTATTCGTGGTAGGAGTATGTACAGTTCCTCATGACTCACCCTGTATAAATGGCTATTAGTACAGTATCATTATATTATAAAGTGTACATTATTTTTAACATTTTGAATTTCTATAGGATTCCATTAAATTTTATGTGTCAATGAATGGTTTACCAATCTTCGAATAGTTTTGTAGACCTAATAAATAAGTCTACAAAATGGCGAGTGTTTTTTCAACTCATTTCAATACCTATTTTCAGTAGTTAACCAACGAATTATTCCTTCCTAAATGCATACGAAATTTTGAAATATTTGTGTTAACTCATAACAAAATGGTGAATATCTCCGCAATGTATTGCACTAATATCCATCTAGATCATTCATACAGAGGAGGTGAAGAAAGCAAATTTCAAAATGTTTTCATCGTTATATGGAAATATACCGAAGCAAAATACCAACCACGTGATGAATGCCTCCATATACAGATATTATACAGAAACACTTACCATCTTGAAGAAATAAAAATTTCACACACTCGAATGAAAATACAATCACCAAGCCGACTATAAGTTTTTTTTATTATCACTTTAATCGACCGTCCGTACGCGATGATATCTCGAACGAGACTGCTCATTGTTTTGATTCATCATTCGAATTACTAATTGGTTACGTCATCCTTTCAACCGATTAATTCCCGAACAAGTATGACTCATTTATTCCGATATCGATAGTAGGTATACGGAGTGGAGTAAAAAGAAATTTAAGGGTATTTCCTTTCATTTTCTCATTTATACGAGGTGTTTTTGAAATGAGTTCATATATTCAGCAAATCAATGAAATATAGGCTAACGGATATTCTCATGACATCAAATTTTTGCTAATTCTAACACGGAATTCGATCTCGAAAATTCAATAAAAATCGGGTAAAAAAAACAAATACCCCACCTTAAAGCAATTTGAATGATTGATAGATTAATATCTATCAATGATTACTAGATCCATAAGTCCGCGTGAATATGCCTTCTGCACGGAAATTTGCATGGAAGTGACGTCATAATTGCTATAGTGTGGAACTTTGGATGGAAAAAGAGTCTCACCCTGGATTTTATTATGTCCCTATATTTTTTCTATGGTTGCCATATAATAGTATTAGTCGAAATTATTTAGGGTTTGAAATATTTGTATCTATTTCAATGTCAGCTACTGAGTTAGGTTAGATTTTCTAGAAAAAGTCTTCTTTTTACGCAGAAATGATGAAATATTTGTATTTACCTCAATGTCACCTGCTGAGTTGGGTTAGATTTTTTAGAAAAAGGATTCTTCTTCTTTACGCAGAAAGGATGTTTTCCTTCTGTATATACAGGGTGATTCGTTAAGAATGGGAAATATCTGAACTACAGACAGTAAACACCAAAATATTAAGATCCAATAACACAACATGTATAGAAATGTTGCAGATACAGGGTGTTCAAAGAAAGATTCATTTTATTTTTTTCAACTTCGGTCGAATATTTACTTTGAGATTCTGTTTATTGTTGGCGTTGTTCGTCATTGTCATCATTGATCACTGTCTTTTTTTCCACTATCAGTACGCTAACTTTATAACTTGAAATTATTGAAATCTTATAAGTGAAACATAAACCTCTTCAAGAGCGAATAACGCAAAAACCGTTAGAGCTAGACATTTTGAAAAAGATTACAATTTTTATGTAAAATTAAACGGGCTTTCAAATCTTTCACTTATTTTGATCATTATTCAATGGACAAAAGATATATGATGCACCAAAGTAACAGAGTGGGTCCTCTTTGAGCAATCCCAAAGTAACTTTCAAATTCGTATTCCTCATGTCAGAAGACAAAATTTCATGCGTATGCTAAGGTGTGACATTTTCAGGCTAATAGTGAGTGCCATGTTATTGTACCTTTAAACTTCAACAAATTTCCAGTGTAATTTCATGCCCCTTCCCCCAAGGAAGAGGAAAAAATTTCAAGAAATTTGTTTATTCACTATGGTAACTATACAAAATACAGGCTTTTACTTGGTCGAGAATGTTAGGTGTGAAATTTTCAGGCTAATAGCGAGTGCCATGTCATTTTACCTATAAACGTCAAAAAATTTCCAGTGTAATTTCATGCTTCTTTTCCCAAAGAGGAGAAAAAAATTCCAATAATTTGTTTAGTTGCTATGGTAACGATACAAAATACAGGCTTTTACTTGGTCGAAAATGTTAGGTGTGACATTTTCAGGCTAATAGCGAGTGCCATGTCATTGTACCTTTAAACTTCAACAAATTTCCAGTGTAATTTCATGCTCCTTCCCCCAAGGAAGAGAAAAAAATTTCAAGAAATTTGTTTAGTTGCTATGGTAACGATACAAAATACAGGCTTTTACTTGGTCGAAAATGTTAGGTGTGAAATTCCCAGGCTAATTGCGAGTGCCATGTCATTTTACCTATAAACGTCAAAAAATGTCCAGTGTAATTTCATGCTCCTTCCCCCAAGGAGAAGAAAATTCCAGAAATTTGTTTAGTTGCTATGGTAACGATACAAAATACAGGCTTTTACTTGGTCCTAAATGTTAGGTGCGAAATTTTCAGGCTAATAGCGAGTGCCAATTCGATACGACCGGATGTTCCCTCGAGCAGGACATGGCCATGTTCCTGCGAGTCACCGGAAAGGAATTCTGTGACATCGAGTTGAACTTGGACGGTACGCTCATACCTGCCCACAAAACTATCCTGGCAGCCAGATGCAGCTATTTTGAAGCTATGTTCAGGTCTTTCATGCCTGTAGACAGTAAAGTGAATGTAAGTATCGATCTACATGTTTTGAATTTCTAGGGCAAAACCGAAAATCAAACAGGGTAAATGCGCCTATGATACCCCCCTGAGAAAATTGCCTCATCATGTTCTTACTATGAATTTATTCAATAATATTGGATAGCGTATTGAATCCTTATTGTCAGTTCTTCAATGTATATATATGCAGTTTTCTGAAATCTGATGGCTTCCAAGTGGTTTATACCAAATACAGATTTATTTAAATCATTCAAATTCTTTATGAAATAAAATACTCAACCCTAGTTCACCAGATTTTTTGTGATTTTCTAGTAAAATAAATATTCCACCACCACTTAATAGGGTTTCATCATAGGTAATAAATAAAAAAAAAATGAAGATAAATATGAAAAAAATGCTTCATTTTCGGACCCATATTAATAGGAACTTATTGCCTTATTTTTACGCAAGGAATATGCCCCTGGAAGGATGCCGCTTACTTTTGAATCACCCTGTATGTTCAATTTATTTTGAGGATTTCCTAATCTTACATGCCTGTGAACTGTACATCTGTACATTTCAAATTTATTATTACTATTTATTTTCCATACATGTCTGTATATATTTGCTTTTTTTATAATGAGATATTGTACATGTTTTTCTGTCGAGGGTTGTCTTCGTATAGGTATTGTTTCGTTTTTGCACTCTTTTGACTTGTTGCTGAGACCAACCACTTGTCTTTGGGGCATTGGTGATTTCTAGTAGTGAATAAAGTTTCTCGTTCTTCTTCTTTCTTCTTCTATGAAAAGTCGTTATTGATAAATACCATATATGTACTATTTCTATATATGGCCCATCGCCTATACGATATCTCAACAAAAATGGGACAAAAATGAGAGTTACTTTTTTTATCTATAAGGATGGAAAATTTGAAATTAGTAGTCATATTGTCGTATTATTTTTTCCCTACGTCGGCTTCAACGCCCATTGGTCGATTTCTTTACCTATAGAGACAAGTTGGTCCCACTTTGAGGACAGCTATAATTCATATATGAATAGTAGATATTTATTGTTTATTGTTTATTGAAAAACTAGCTTCCAGTCAGAAATAAAATTCTGGTATGAGGAAGTTGATTACAAACAACAATAATAAAATAATATAAGGTGACAACAACAACAACGAAAATCTAAAAAATCTAAAAATGCTAAATCGATCAAGTCATAAAAATAGCCACAGGGACTAATCAGTAGATGGCAAAGTATCAATTTTATCCATTTCGTAATGAAATCATGTGTTTTTTTAATTCAATTTTAAATTTTGAAATATGTCTGCAATTTTTTATATTATGTGGTAATTTATTAAATTCAGCTAGAGCAGCGTGAGTAAATTTTTTTTGGCCAATTATAGAAGTAACAGAATCAAGATGAAATAAGTTTAATTGTCTCGTGTGATGACCATGAAATTCTGAGTTTCTTACCAAAACAAAATTGGATTTCAGATTATTGTTTATTATATTATATGAAACTTTAAGAGAATCTATTTTATATAATTCATCCAATGAAAATTTTTCTGTTATCGCATACAGATCATTTGTTGGAATATCAAATGAGAGGCGATACAATACTTTCAGTGCTTTCTTATAAAGTGCAGATATTTTACTGAAATAATTTTTTGGACAAGATCCCCAAACGTTTATCATATAGGTAATACGACTGAGCATATGAGAATGAAGTACTATGTTTATGACTTTTTTGTCAAGTTTAGGACATCTTCGCAAAGCTCCTATGATTGGAGATATTTTTTGTATCAGAACCTCTATATGCTTGTCCCATTTCAATTTTTCATCAATCCACAAACCAAGATACTTTATTTGTGTAGTTCTTTTCAATACTTTATTTTTAATTTGGAGATTGAAACTAATATTCTGTTTATTTTTTTGATGGAATATTATATATTCAGAGATGACTGTCTCTATGAACTAGTTCATAAAATTACGAAAACTACCTTAGTTGAGAAAATACGCTTCATGCCTTGGAAATGAATAACAAAATAGTAGACTCTATAGTTAGTGGTGAAAAAAAACGTGTTCCAGATCCAAATAGGCGAAATGATCCCCTCTCGCGAATCCTTCGACTCCCTCTTGCGCTACATCTACTACGGTGACGTCAGCATGCCGCCTGAAGATTCGCTCTACCTCTTCTCGGCCCCGTTCTTCTACGGCTTCTCCAACAACCGGCTGCAGGCTTTCTGCAAGCAGAACCTCGAGATGAACGTGACCTTCGAGAACGTGGTACAGATCCTCGAGGCAGCCGATCGGATGCAGGCGACCGACATGAAGAAGTACGCGCTGGATTTGATCGTACACCATTTCGTCAAGGTGGCGAGGCTGCCGAGGTTAGTGCACGGTTTTATTAAAATTTGATGGATTTTGAACGAGGTGAAACAAGTCTTCTTACACAATGAAGACCAACTTCTGCTTCCTTTATTCATTTGCCTTGTGTGTGCGTAGAACGCTAACAATCAATCAAACTTTTATTGAATAAGTTTCTGGTGCGAATCGTTTCAGCCACAGAAAATGTCTTCTTAGCCACATATCGTGTCAGCCACTTATCGTTTCAGCCTCATTTCGTCTCGGCCACATTGTCCGAATATACACAAAGGATGTGCTGTTGCCAGATATGAACCAACTCTCCCAATTCAGCAGAAATACACAATGCAGCTTCATCTCGTTCCAGTCACATTTTGTCTCAGCCACATTTCGTCTCAGCCACATTTCGTGTCCATTTCGTCTTAGCCACATTTTCTTGCGATTCATCCATATTTGGTGAAAAGAAGGAAGAATTTCATTTGAAATAATTGCATGAGTAACGCCATTCAAAAGCAATCTGTTGACATTTGACATATCGTATTTGGATTGATTATTGATGAAATGGCGGTCATCTGGTATGATTGTTCACTAATAATGAGAAACTCGCAATGAAAATCATATTTTTTGTTGAATATTCTATATAAAAAAGTGTCATTGAAGTACATACATCATGAGTATATCAAGTGTCCAACGACAAAATAAGAAGAGCAAGCAAGCAAGCAAGTAAATGCAGTCAAGACAGGAGGAAAAAGAAGGCGAAATTCCGAACTTCTTGAAATATCTCGATAATTAGTAGTTTGTTCACATTTTCATTATGAAATTCGTGTTTTTCAGACAAAAATACGTAGTTACCAAAACAAATTTTCGAAAAAAAAAATATCGCATGATAAGTGCAATTTTACTCTTATGTGGCCGAGATGAAATGAGGCTAAGACGAAATGAGGCTGAAACGAGATGTGGCTGAGACGAATTGTGGCTAAGACGAAATGAACACGAAATGTGGCTGAGACGAAATGTGGCTGAGACGAGATGTAATACTGAGAGGAATATGCCTCATTTATTCGATTCTGGGATAGTATGTGGCAACAGCGCATCATTCGAGTATGTTCGGATTTTGTGGGCTAGACGAAATGTGGCTGAGATGAGATGTGGCCGGAACGGGTTGTGGCTGAGAAGAGATGATCCCTAAGTTTCCTTCTACAATAAAAATTGAAAAAGAATTCAGATAGATAACATAACATAATTATAGAATACTAGCTAATTCAATGAAAAATGAATATATTTATTAAGAGAGTTTAACAATACTCGATATCAACATTAACCATCAACTTGAAAAAAAGAAATTGAGAATGGGTATGAAACATCAATGATATACTAGACAAATATATTTACAAACAATATTAACCATTAAAATAATCTGATCTTTTGAACACATCAAGATTTGAAGACAATTCAATGTCTTCACTGAGATAATAATCTAATATGGCTTAACTCCATAGTACATGGGATGCTTCTATGTTACTGACAATCTACTAGGAGGTAGATGCAATTGATTACAATTACTAGTGAAATGATCATGAATTTGTTCATTTTTGGGTAAACTTCAGAAATTATTCCTGATATATGTACATACATCAAAGTTAGATATACAAACTGGGCATTGTTGAAATATCATAATGTATGAATAATGGCCTGCAATGATTTCTGGATGATGCACCTACCATAATTCTTATTGCCTTTTTTTGTATAATAAATAATACATTCGGCAGATGAACCCCATTGTTCTAGACCCTAAGCTATGACAGATTGAATCAAACTGTGATATAGAAGTTTAAGAACATCCAAAGAAACTGTTTGTCTCAATTGACGATGTAGATATATATGTTTACTAAGCTTTAGTTTAACACTATCAATATGATTATTTCAGGTTAGTTTATTATCAATATTGACCCCCAAATATCTTGAATAATTAACCTGATGGATTGTCTCATTGTTTATTTTGACCAAATAGCTTTTATCTATAGTTGTGTTTTTCGTAGCAAAGTTGAGCATTTGAGATTTGACAGTATCCATCAACAATCCGTTCAGATAACACCACTCAGAAATTTGAGCTGTAACTTCTCGTGCTTTGTCAACAACTTCCGAGATGGTTCCCGCAGATACCAAAATATTAGTATCATCAGCAAAAATCACAGTTATTGAAGCTTTCGTATAGAAGTTGGGAAGATCGTTAATAAAACCTAAAAATAAGAGTGGTCCTAGGACAGATCCTTGGGGAACTCCAATCGGAACGCATCTTGAATTTGAATACGTTTCATTCACACTGACCACCTGACTACGACCAGCTAGGTATGACCTAAGCTAATTGACTGCAGAACCCCTTATACCATAAATCTAGTTTATGCAACAATATATCATGGTCAACAAGATCGAATGCTTAACATGGATATTTTCAGAATTCCTCCACGCGAAATGCGTCATGAAGGTATAGTGACATGAAAGTTTCACTTGGATCTTCCCCTCTTTATCAATCCACGGTAATTTCGCGTGGAACATTTCCTTTCCAGGGTATTTCGCGGGGAGAACTCCCTTGTGATCAATCCGCGGATTCTAATCTACTGACATGTTCAATGACTGAATGGAAAATATAATGAAAAGGTCCATTTCTTGTCGATCCAGCATTAAATTTTTTCAACTGATTTTGCGCGAAATTCTTATACATCATTGTATCGAAAATATCTAGCAGAAAAAACATTAAAAACACCAACTTATATATGTTGCCATTTAAAAAAAGTGAACATTCACTATCTTCAGAGTTGAAATAATTGAAAAAAAAAACAACCTGTAGTATCTGATGTCATGTCATTTGCTTTTTTGTGTTTCACAATGGATGTTAAATAGCGGCGCTATGGTGTATTGGTATTGGTATTGGTAGGTTGGATGGTGACAGATTCGCTGCGACCCAATTAGATCTATTGTGCCCCATCTGCTCCTGCTATATCAAGGATTTCTTGTTCATAGCAGCCCCTTGAGATTCAATTCCTTCAGGAATTTGAGGAATTTGAGGGGGTCTAGCTGTGGTATTTCTTCCACAGTCAGCTGGTGTGTTCCCAGTATGTTCAATCTTTTGTGATGTACAGCGTCACACTCCATCAGTATGTGATGGGGTGTTTCTGGTTCTTCCTCAAAGAATCTGCAGGTGCCGTCCTCCTGTAAGCCTAGCTTCCTTAGGTGTTCTTTGAGTCTGCAATGCCCCGTTAGAAATCCCGTTATTGCTTCGAGACTTCCTTTGCTGAGGTTTGTCAGTGTCTTGTCAGTGTATTGACAGTCGGCCTGGATACTTTCGAAAACAACGTGTTGCTGTTCCGACCGTCAGAACCAATGCATGTTCATGATAATAAAAATGATATTAGTCATAACATTATACTCTACTGTTGGACCTCACTTGTACTAATTCTCAAATTCAAAACTTAATAACTTTTCGATTTCTCTGATGTCTTCTTCAAAAGCTAAATAAAGCTGACTACTACTTACTTACAGGTACTCGAAAGTGCTTTTCCACGAAAAATTTAATACATTTTTTGCACTAAACTTGACATTTGTAATGCAGATTGAAGCTGCTGAGCAAAGAGCTCATCCTCGACATCTTGGAGGTATTGGCTGACAGCATGGAGAGCTCCAGGAGCGACACATCGAGCGCCATATTCGATCCGTGATCTTCGATTGAGTGGGAGAAGAAAGAGAAGAAGGAGGAAGAGGAGGTGGCGTCAGCCGAGGCCGTTTTGACAGTCGGAAGGCTAACGGTGACGTTGTTCGCGGTGATATCGGTGATTATCGACAACGGATTGGTCGAGAAACTGTTCGTCAATAGCGGGAAGGAGAGACAGTTCTAATGATATGACAATATTTTCAAGAGTTGGACATTTCTTATCGTGAAAGTGGCTGCAGATGAGCCAAATGTCAAACAAGAATGAAATCGACGCAACTGTCAAAATTATTGTATTTTTATGAGTTGATAAACGGCAAATATAATTTATTAGTGAAAATAGGAGGAAAACAACTTCTTGGGCTCAGCTATTTGTTATTGACATTGACGAAAGACAATGTGTTCGACAAATGACATTCAATTTGACAGTAACTGCTGCCAATAAATAGCACGAAAAGACCAACGCTCTCCAGATTAGTGCAAATGAATTATTGTTAATTCCATAATCTCTTTTGGTGTTTTGGGCGTGAACGTGAATCAACTGATGAGATTGTGAACACATAGTTTTTCAACAAATATTCCGTTCCACAGTGGATTTTCTTATTCCTTGAGAAAGTGTAATTCGATGGAAGAAGTGAAATACACGTATTATTCTATTAAATTTGTCAAAACTAACGAGAAAACGATGACAGCATTTATTGATGAGATTAAGCACCTTTGATCTGTACTGACAGTAAGTACCTTCAATTAGTATCGATCATGTTTTTCAAGTGCAAAACATGTTTCAGGTTGCATATAGACCACACATGAGTTTGAAAAAATACACTAGGTATTCTATTTTTCTCTAATGTTGAAGGACTTCATTATGATCCTCCTTGGCGGTTAAAAAAATATGAGCTCATGAAATGAGAATAATATATGAAGCTTGAAAAAACTACATACAGGGTGTCAGGGCTGATATAGAATGAACTAAAACAATGTTAGTAGGTATTTCAATCAAAAAAATGTCTCGCACTTCCTTGGAGTTATTGACCTTGAAAGTTTCTGCAACTCCACACATGTATATTCATTACTGAACGCATTCATGGTGTTACCAAAGTATTAAATACTGTAAAAATAATTTTCGGTCGAAATTATGACAATGCCTGCTGATGTTATTGAATAAATAGTTTTTGTTTTACCTCTTTTTGAAATGGTTGGGATGTATGTTTTTAAAATGCATTTTTCTCTAGAATGGTACAAGATATGAATTGAAATAAAGTATACTATTTCTGTAGACAACCCAGGTAACACGGAACTCTCCGCAATATCTCTAAGTAGTTATCTTCAGGATCAAAATGCGAAATCCTCCTGCGAGGTGCCAAAGATCACTATAGGCTCTCACCATGGGAAATACTCTCTGGAGTCGTCCGAAAGAAATCGCGGAGATCTCGCCTCAGATTTGATATATTCCTCAATATTGCGAATCCTTGAGGTTATCTATAACAGAAAATGAATAGGCATTTCTTTCTGCGAGCACCCATGGATATCCTGGACGTAACAAGATCGAGAATATCCCATTGCGAGCTCCTAAAGTAATCACAAACATAACCTGAATAATTATTGAATATTCCTACAAAAATATTGAGTTGTTTTTTTCAATAGCCTTTATAATTCAAATACTGGGTGTCCCAAGTCATCGTTTACAGGCAATATCTCGCCTATTTGTCAAGATATCAAAAGCATTAAAAAACTGCATTAAATGGCATTAAATAACCTCCCTAATGGCTTATGAAGAATGTGATATATTGGCAGCCCCCGGGTGGTAGATACTGATCAGTTTTTATTTTCTAGTAGCATATAAGTCTCTGAAAATTGCGTGTCAATCTATTTGGAATACAACGATATCGCACATACTTGGTGTGTTTTGTTCTTGATAACAACAAAAACATGAACATTTTGTTAATTTTTTTCGTTACTCAAATGACAAATTGCTTTCACCCATGTGTTCAAGAAGTTCACAAATAAGAAGTATGGATTGCATTTTTGTTTCAAAATATTAATGACAGATATTCCATTTTGAACTGCAGAACATCAATCATTGCAGACGGTACCTACCTAGTGTGATAATTAATCTATATAATTTCTTTGTGGGACATTTTTACGAACATGGGAGAAGGCAATTTTCAATCGATATAACGTAAGTGAGGTCAAAAAATTTTATTGTTAATGTTGTTATTAATGAACAAAATACAAAGTACCAATGTGCTATCGTTCATTCCGTAATAGGATGATTGGCAATTTTCAATGACAATATACAGGGAGTCCATTAAATGAAAATTGAGGAGTTGCTACCAGGTGGCTGTCCAATCTAATACACTTTTTTTGAGTCATAAAGAAAGTTCTCTGATGTCATTTGAAGCATTTTTACTTTTTTTTTTTGTTCATCTTGTCGAATAAGCAAGTTTTTGCCGGTACCTTAACGATAACTTGGGACACCCAGTATTAACATGAAATGGGAGTCATTAATCTATGATAATAATAATTGATTGTATGTACTCTAGATACTAGATTTTCTTACTGTCTCAGAGAATGTGTTCAACAGGTCATATTATTATCTCTCCGCCATTATGGAAGATTATTTCAAATTTTGCAGTCAATTAATGATAATTAATTATCTGCTCTGACGAAAAAGACAAAAATGTTCCAATTCAGGTGGGATCGAGAATCAAATATCTACCTCAAATTCGTGGGTAAATATCGGACGACCTTTTTTTTTAAAGGATACCCGGCCAACCCCTCGGAGATTTTTTAATGTGATAAAGTTTACTTGATCAATGTCTTGCTATAGAATAATATATTAAAGCTCATTACGTTGATCTAACTCTAAGTTTGATAACTCAATCTTTTTCGCTGAAACAAATATCCAGTAAATTTAACTCCACTCCAAACAATATAGCTGGCGCTAGTTAGACTTCGCCGACAGGAGACTGCTGAACACCAATGACTTCTCAAAAATTGAACACCTTAACATATTAGTGGCGATCATGTGGCGATTGATGCAAATATCGATCTTAAAGGCCTCGTTATAAGGTGATGTGCACGGATTCTTGAACAATTCATAGTTGCGAGCACTTGAAGAGTTCGCTATTAGTAATTGATGCGAATTTCCCAAAGTTCTCTTCACAAGGCGATGCGTGCGAAAATCTCAAACAGCTCGTAGTCGCGAGCACTTAAAAGACCTCGCCAGAAGCAATTGATGCGAATCTCCCAATGTCCTCGTCACAAAGCAAGGTATGCGAATTTCTCAAACAGCTCATGATTACGAGCACTTTCAGTTATCGCCAGTGGCGATGGAAGCGTATATGTCAAGGTGCGCACCTGAGGGCATTGTATGAGAATTTCTGCGTGCGATATCTTCAAGACCTCGCTGAGCTCAGCCTAGGTGGCGGACATTTGGCCTAGATATATAGCACTCTCGGCCATCTCTCAAAGAAGTTACAAAAGGCATCACAATTTCCTAAAAGGATTTCTTCAAGATATCTTTAGGACCTCTTTATTGTGCTGGCTGGGAAAAAGATGAAGGAATCAATCGGTAGTGGCAAAATGTTAAAATTTGTCACCTCTGTCAAAAATACGTTCCATCCCATTTGTCCCATCCCCCTGTATAAAACAATTACTGAACAGCCGGTTACATATTGAAAGGATCATTATAAAGGAGTTGATTCAGTTACCCGAATATCATTGATATCATGGCAACCGTTCAAAAGTTGAATACATGAATTGTATATTTTTATTCAAACTTACAAGGTCAATAACTTCATAAGGAAGTGTATTTGAATTCAACACACTATTTTGGGAATGTTATTCCTTTGTTTCAATTACAATTGTCTTGCATGAAAAATAACAGATGCTGAGTGACATTTTAGTTTTTTAGAAGCATTAATAAATGTGATCTTATAGAATAGGTATGTTCCTAGTTTTTTTTTCTTCAGTTGAAAAACTATACAGTGGAAACTTAAACTGGAATAAATTCCCTAGTGGGGAGGTGGATATTTAATTCCCAGCATTCCTCAATGTTCTAATGTATTTACCTACATTTTGCAAACAATAGAGCAGTTCAGCTAGCCTTGAGAGTTGAGAGAGAAGAAAATGTCTCCTCCATCTATCCTTGTCTTCAGTGTTCCAACATGGAATAATGAAAATTTTATGTTGGCAAAACTCAAAATGAGAAGAAATGAAGAAGAAAGCCATTCTAACATTTCTCATTAATATTCTTCTTCAGTTTTGCCAAAATAAAATTTTTTCTCTCAAGGATAGTTGAACCTAGGGTCCCTGTATATACCTTAAGGTATATACAGGGACTCTAAGTTGAACCATTGTCTGGTTGAACTGCTCTGGCTCTAGTGCTCTATATCAAGAGTATATTCATCCAATGTTTTTTCAAATGCAACCCTTATGGCCTGTGACTCAATCAATCAATCAACTTTATTATTCCCAAGAAACAACATTTGTTTATAGCAGGGAACATAGTGAATACATAAATATATTTGACAAAATAAAATAAAGAAAACAGTAAAATAAGACGCACACTCAAAAACAATCTTTTTTTTCATGTTCAAATGAAAATGATTCTCAATTGACTCAGCAAAAGTTGGTGCCACAACTGAAATATTGTTTGCCAGTGTTTTTATACAGCTGCAAAAACAAATTAAGTTTTTACACCATATTCACAGTTCAAAACAAAATGTTATTGCAAACCCCAGAAAATGTCTTACATAATAATTATATAAGTCTGTGATTCTGAATAATATAGTGATTTTAAATTTCCTAATGGAAAAAATATCCCATTTCCAACATTTGCTATAAACTGATAGCTATAGGGGGAATAAAGTTTCAAGGGTAGGGAAAAATAATCCATATAGAATTAAGTTGTTCCTATATTAACACTTTGTATTGCAGCCAAACAAAATTGATTGAATATTTGAATTTCTTGTTTCAACTCATAGAGTTGAGTCATTAGTATATCACTGTTATATGAAGCTTGGAAATCATTCAAAAATGTTTTTGTTCCAACCAGAACTTTGTAGCATTCACAAAGTCACCATTCATCCTGATATAGCCAGCAAACTCATTCACCTGGCTTCGGATGGGCTTGAATGATTCTTTCTGTAAAAATTTCAGCAGTTGTTTCTCCATCTCAAATATATCCCCTTTAACTTTCCTCACTAAAGTGTGTCTCCTTGTGCCCCTGGCACATAATTTCAAATAAACAGGAAGCATGTGGTTTTTGGTCCTCTCAATGTAATATGACATGTGGTTGAGGTTAACTGCAGAAGGCTTCCAACCAGAGGGATAAGACTTCTTTTTTATGGGTTCAGGTACTGTTGTTGGTGGCAGAATTCTTTCTACAGAATTCCATTCATCAGGATCTCTAGTAATGTCATACTTCCTGTTGGTTTCCACATCTTCCAGGAATTGAGACGATTTGTAACTGGAATATCGAATCAGTTGTTTGGTCTAAAAACAGAAATTTATTGACATAAGTAATGTGGCCAACATTTTTTTGATGGTTTCTACTCAAAGGTATGTAAAATATTGGAAAACTAAATTTTTATTACCTGACTTTTCAGAATAGCGCAAGAGTAACTAAATTTACTTGAGATAATTGAGGCGAATGCCATTGCCATTGTACCAAAGTTGAAGGATAATATTCCTTATTCAGAAACGAACTGAAGATCAAAGAACTCATGAACATGAAACTTCCATATTTTATGGTTAGTAAATCAGGTTATTTTGTTATTTATGACATGACACAAAAAAGAAGAAGATAATTCATCTTCTATTTTTTATAAGTAATGACATATAATAGGACAGTGTCTTGTTAGGACATTTTGTCTTTGGCAACAGGGCTATAATGCCTATAACGATCCATTTGACTTTGACTTTCTACCGATGGGGGTTTGTTTTTGTTATTGTCACGAATGTCACGAATCACGTTTACGAATGTCACGATGTTATTGTTTATTATTTTATGTTTATAATTTTTCCATAAAGAAATATCAAATATCTGGAAAAAGATATGTTAGGAACTTTTCACTACAGAATAGATGGTATCCTTAGCAAATAGCAAATGGTACTTAAACTGTTAATAAATAAAATTTCATGAATAAATGAAATGTAGTATGTACCTATTTTTCATGATAGAGATTTTTATATTTTCAGATTTTCAGTATACCAACCGTGAGGCGTGAGTAGAATTAAAAGACATTGTCATCATTAGAGCGTTGATTGATATATTATGCTCAATTAGAGGTAAGTATGAAACATAATTAATATTATATACCTACTTGAATTCCTCTCTTTCATTTTTCTTATAACTTTAGATTGATCTATAATAGGAAGATTTTGACACAGTGTTTGTAAACACCTAGTCATAGAGGTGGTTTAGTTTTGAATCTGGCATTTATTTGAAAGCATCAGAAATGATTTGGTCTATTTTTGTCATACTACATCATTATCTATATAATATTATGTAGGTACTTGAGTATATTTTATTACAATTTTGCCATTTTGCCACCCAAGTTACAGGTCCATTTGTTAGGCAATTGAATGAAGAGACAAAATGAGTTTGTGGGTGGAATTTGGTTCATGTAAGGGTTCATGTAATTTAAAATTATTGAATCTGTATCATGTTCATTTTATATATTATACAGGGTCACTATTCCAAATATCATGTAGGTATGTAGATATATTGAAGGAGGTATTTCTTTGGCTCATTTTTTGACTGAAAGTTCATTTAAACATACCTATATGTCCTAATTTGTTTCATTTTCAAGATACAGAGGGTTCCCTGCTGTCAAAGTTGAACAAAACAAATTCAATTATAAGGCAACTACTGAACAAAAATTTTGAACATTTCATAGAACTAGTTGCATGCTGAGGGCAAATAAATTAGTAATAACATTTGGCCAATTGGATTTTCATTGGCAACAATATAGGGGAATATAGATAGAGGTTCTTAGTCTAAAAAACATGTCATGTAAAAAAAATAAGAATATAAATTCACAGAGTAGGTAACATTTTGTCAGGTACATTTGGTTACAGTAGAATAAAAAATAGCTCAACTATATCACACAATTTGTCACTACTTATCATTATTTTGTATTTTCACAAAAGTATACCTACTTATATAAACATATATTATTAAAAATGTAACCATGTAAATCAATTCAATGCTTAACCAAACTTCATGTTCGTTTACTCATAAGGTATTTTTTCAGCTTTTTTATTAAAATAATTTGCTGTTTCATTCTTTCCATTCAACAGGCAGTTGATTATATTATCATTGTCATTCTAGATGACAACCTATAGTTAGGTAGTTGGTGGGCAAAGTGCCTCCTTGCATATACTAGGTCACCTACTAGAGGTTTTTCATTTAGATCAACAATGATTATATATTTGAACACCTTTATTTATTTATGTTTATTATTGTTTTTTTTTTGCTAAAAAGTGAGCGGCGAAAGAAAATGTCCAAATTCTATACAAATCCATGAAAGATCATTCAATTATGTACAAAAACATAATTATGATGAATCTCCATAAGATGCATCGTTTACTAAAGATAAAAAACAAAACGAAAAAACGAGACCTCTGCAGGTCAGTTAGCTTTTAGAGATAAGAAAAATATCTTCCCCATCTGTCCTTGTCTTCAGTGTTCCAACATAAAATAATCAGTGTTGCCAGATGAAAATTTTCTGGAGCAGTAGATGAGTGGGAAAAAAACAGTAGATCATCAAAGCTGAACAGAAGATTTTTAATAATCATTACAATTTGCTGTTATGAATGAAAAAAACCTAAAAATTCATGTATAAGAAAGGAAAATTAATTATTTGTTGTATTAGGCAGGGCTGGCCAGCCAAGACATTACATCTTCTTTTCTGCCATGTTAAACATATAATTTTTTCCTCAAATTATTTTCAATTTCAAGCAAAGTCCAAATAATCCATCATTTTTGTTCACCCAAAGTCATTGCCAATTTTGATTATCAATTTGATTCAAATTACTTGGAACGTTGCCTAGCAACAAACTTTTTCTGCCTAGGTTGTAAGAGTAAACATTTTCTGCCTGTTAAAAGTGTCATTAAAATCCACCTTAAATGTCATTTGGAGAAAAACAATTTTGATTTGCTTAAATACCTACCGGCTAATCCCAGTTTATTTTTACCATACATCTTCTCACTGTGATGCCCCATGAATTATAGTTATTTATTATACAAGGAAAAAAGTAGTAGATTTTAGCTCCAGGTGTCTCCCGACGCGTAGCGAGGGAGACAAAAAACGGTGAGCTAAAATCTTATATTTTTCCCGTGTATAATACACTATTTTTTTCTGTGACAGAAGAGGAGACGAATCAATATTGAGAAGATATTACATCATTTTGAAATCTGGAAATTATCGACGTGATATTTGGAGTTTTTAACAGGAGGAACACCTGCGTTGTAGGCATCTTTATCATTCTTTCGAAGTAATCAAATATCTTATGTCACTTCTGTCAGTCTAATTCTGTGATTTGATTTCAAAAAATTGCGAATTTAGTGGTTGTTCAGTAATTTTCGTAACCGTGAAGTGGAATGGAAGATAAAAGGACTTGCAGTTCTTTCTCGGTGACGGTATTATTGACTTATTTTTTGGAACAATAGCACAACAAAAACCATCAACATTGTACCTATATATATGTGATATATATTCGGGAAAAAAGTACTCACTTTTTTCCCACGGGAAAAAAGTAATTTATGTAAAGTGACATTTTATAACTTGTCAACAGAGATGAAATGCCAAACTTTTTTCCCGTCATAGAAAAAATTATTTTTTATATCTCATATTGAAACATGACGATAATTGCCTTGTAGATAAATAACTTTCAGTATGGGGTAAAACCACATTGCATTGCTTGCTGTACTTGCCACTACCTCTGCTACTAACTACTGACAGAACCCGATGACGTGACGTTAACGTGATACGTGGCAACAGTCAAAAAATAATTCAAAATTACTCAGTTGAGAATTGTTAATGGTTCAATAATCTGAAACTCCAGCTCTCTACACAGCAACAAAACAGTAGTTTGCATCGAGGTTTGCATGCCTTAAACAGGAGACCAGTATGACGGAGACGAAAACAGTAGATCTACTGTTAAAACAGTAGGTTTGGCAACGCTGAAAATAATGAAAATTTTATGTTGGCAACTCTGGAAATGAGAAGAAATGGAGAATAAGACCATTCTAATCTCTTTTATATTGGGAATGATGGAAGTAAGATATGGTGTGCGTATTCGGCCATTATTACATATTGAAAATTTCAGAAAAATCACTCGACCGGCCTACTATGATTTCTTTACGTCACAACGAGCGAGACATTTATTCTACATTTTCTCGCTAGATGGTGATGATGCTATTGCTTCTCAAGGTTTGCTGTGACAAGTGGAAATAAAATGGCAAATGCCATTTTAGCTACGCGGAACATATGTAACAGTGGGATTAAACAACTCTAAATTCGAAAAATCTGCGACAATTTCAAAACTGACAGAAGTCATAATTGTGCAATGTCGCCATCTATTAGAAGATCAACGGAACCATTGCTCTCGCTGCTCTCGAGAGGTCGAGTAAAATTTCTGAGACAAAAGCGCATCAGTAATTACACCATATCTTACTTCCATCATTAGTGAGAGCAATAGTTCCGTGGATCTTCTAATAGATGGCGACATTGCACAATTATGACAAGGTTGGTAGAACTGATTATAATTTGTATAGGAAGGTTGCCTCGATCGATAGTGCGGCAAGGGGGGAAACGGTCACTCGTGACGTCACAGGCAGTAAGACGACAAGTTGTCAACCTTAAAGCGACATGTCATGAAATGTTTACCAAAAAGAGTATACAAACATGATACAAACTTTTTGGTCTGCTCAGCATATTTATATTAATTTATAGTATATAATTATAAGTAAGTACCATTATAAAATATGGATATTTACATATACTTCTGTATAATACCTTCAATCTTGGAAATGAGAAGGCAATTTTGGATGGATCAGTAGTACAGAGAGGAATACCTATCTGAAATTTTGTTCCAGGGGCTATTTACCAGGTCGTGGTACCAGAGGTATGTGTGTTTTGAGGTATGGAGCATAATTATGGAGCTAGTGATTACTTATGCATTGATTATGAACCTACTCATCCTATAAATATCCTGCAAATCAGATAATGTGAACAAGAAACTACAAAAAATATAAGAATAATCAACTGATGATCCAGAAGTAGTAGCAGTGGACCAATATTCGTACACAACAGATCACTTATTTTATCAAAATAACTCTGTATTCTGAAAAATTAACAAATTTTCCTAGTTACCTATAGAAAATACAAGAGGAAATAGTATTTCATTGTTTGATTATATTGTAGTCAAAAACAGAGCAATTGATCGAAGTATTTGAGCGTAAAAAAATAACGAAATATGATTCTGAATAAAATTAATGAAAAATAACACTACTATTATAAGTGAACCTATAATAAAGGATAGTTCAAGGAATCTCTCAAATGAACATAGCTCCTCTTCGTTGGGTAACGTACTCTTGCTCAAATATCTCAACTTGAAAACACGTGTGATATCTTCTGATGTCCATTTTACCCGTTCAGCAAGAATCTCAACATTCACAACTGGTCTGGTTCTGATCATTTTTCCAAACTTCTATACTTATGGTGTTTCTCTTGTTGTATTTGGTATTATTGATGGGATTCCTACCTTGAGTTTTCTTCTCTTTGGTGTGTGATTTAGCAATTCTGCTTGTGCCGTTCAAAATCCTCGGCATCGAAATGGGCAGAACATATTCGCCAAGTTTTGGTATAAAATGAATTAAAATTACGTCCACAAAATTGAATCCATTTCTCACGAATAGACTCATCTTATGGAAATTAATGGAAACACAAACTGAATTCACTAGTCTCATTACACTTGTACGAATTTTAACAAGAAGTGACCGAACAAATCATCATTTTTACATTTTTAAGTTCAAAATGGTTCAAATATTCGAAAATACTGACAACTGTCAACTCAATACATGCGCCGGCCAATCGCCGGCGTACATATCATAAACGAAGTGTACGAGAGTGCTACACTTTTCGTGCAAAAGAAAGGGCCTATTACGTCATGAGTTACTCAAGGTTACTCGCGGGGTGCGATCGAGGCAACCTTCCTCTACAAAATAGTCATCAGTTCTACCAACCTTGAATTATGATATATTTGTCAGTTTTGAAATTGTCGCAGATTTTTCGAATTCAGAGTTGGATAATCCCACTGTTACATATGTTCCGTGTACCCAAAATGCCATTTTCCATTTTATTTCCACTCCTCACAGCAGCAATAGCAGCATCACCATCTAGCGGGGAAATGTAGAATCAACTTCTCGTTCGTTGTGACGTAGAGAAATCATAGTAGGCGGTCGAGTGATTTTTATGAAATTTTCAATACGTAATAATGGCCAAATGCGGGCACCGTATCTTACTTCCATCATTGTTGGAACACTGAAGACAAGGACAGATGGGGAAGACCATTGAACTCAATGTAAACATTATTAATAATATTATGTTCAAAGCCTGTCTTTTTTATTATCAATTTTATTCATTTTATCTGTTTTTTTTTCTCTATCAACGTTAGATGAACTGTTCTATTGTTCTGAGCATTGTTGATCTAAATGGAAACCTATTAGGCGACCTAATCCTAGTACGCGAGGAATAGCTGAATAGCTCTAACTACCTAACTATAGGTTGTCATTCAGAACGGCAATGTTACTGTTACTGTTATTATCCGTTCAGATTTCTGGATGACTATAATATATATAACATTTCTTTTTTGTCATCACGTGGAGTCGTGGAGATAAATAAGGTGGTCAAAAGAAAAATCTATGCTTATTTTCAACTTTGACCTTAACGTGTAACACGAAAATGAAATGATTCCAGATATACAATGCTTTCGTAAAGTACTCAGTAAATTAATTTTTAGCCAAACTATCCATTTTCATGAAAAATCTAAAAATCTAAAATCTTCCAAATTTTATAGTAAATATTGAATATACAGGGTGATCCACGTTTGTGTTATGACAATTTTCTCAAATGGAAACACCCTATATACATCAATTTATGGAATCAACATGATAAAGAATATTCCTCAGAAATGGATACCTCTATAGTTTGGCTAATAATGAATATATTCAGTAGGTATTTCACGTTTACGAAAGCACTGTATATGTGTTTATAAAAACTTTTTGACCTGAAAAATATGAGGCAAGGAATAATCTCCTGCTCCCTATCATGAATATGACATTTAGAAACACCCTGTATAAATAAATGTCCAGTGCAAGGGCAGTGGTAAATTAAGTGTCTATCATTGAATAATTGTGAACACACATAATTATGTACCTAATATTACTTATTCAAAAGCTTCATTTTCTTTATGAATATTTCAAAAAGGTTTCAAAACCGTTTCACTAAGTATCTTGTAAAACTACAAGTTTGTCTTAGCTATAATAAAAACATATATAATTTTTTATTAATATACATATAAACATAACATAAAAATATTATTTAGTATACAAGGCAAAAAAGTAGATTTTAGCTCCAGGTTGTGTGCGTAGCAGAGGGAGACAAAAAAGTGAGCTAAAATCTAATATTTTTTCCATGTATAATACACAATTTTTTTCGGGAGAGAAAGAACCACGGATCAATATTGAGAAGATATACATTATTTTTTTCCCGTGGGACATTTTACACAGAAAAAAAAAAGAAATATTATTTCCATTCATGAAAAATACAATCATATGTCAGCATTCTACTCAGATTTCCAAAGTTATAGATGAAGGTTACAAATGACAGCGATCATTATCGAATCATATTGTACTTACTTAACTGATAAGGAAGGTAAACAATCGCCAATAATTTGAATATCTCAATTATTTTGTGTCTAGATGAGAAGTTTATGAGGTTTCTCCAACCTAGGGTTGTTCAAATTGTACAACCACTTCATTGTACTAAGCCATGATGGAGAATGAAAAGGAAGAAAAGAAAAAAGAGGTGGAGTGTGTGTATCCAGATGGTGGGTACGGTTGGGTCATAGTGTTTGCCATTGTATTGATAAATGTAAGTTCTTTTTATCTCTGACAAGATTTATTCATCTGATTCGTTTGTTTGATAATATATTGAATTACGACGCTGTCTAGTAATTGGAATTTTTTCAGGAGTGCCAATCCAATTTCTATTTAGTTATTGTATAGTTTCCTTGCTTTTTTTGATTATCTCACTCAAGTTTTTGAGAACCAATCAGAAACGTCGTTTTTACGGAATCTCATGTTGTACAGCATCATTTTTCATTTATACTTATGAAAAATAATCGGACTTTCTATAGTGACCATGCACCAACCTCATTGTTTCTCAAATAATTTCATGACATTTAAACTGGGCGTCAATTGAAACGTTAATAGTGAAATTTGGCATCAAGTTTGACTTCTCGTAATTTCTAAAATATTGAACGAATTTTGAATTGCCGCCCAGATTAGGAATGCCTTTTTCATCGTCTTTCGAACCGTTCCTTACAGCTTCTACTAAATTGATCAGGACTCATGATACAGGGTGAAACTAAGTTTCGTGCATTTTGAAAAAAATTTCTCCGCCCCTCCATTTTGTCGGAAGACCACGATGCTCAAATTTTATTCGGGAATTTCATAAATAGCAACCATACCTCGGCATTATTGTCTTATCAATTATGAGATAGTCATGGGAATAAAACTCGTGATACTAATATTTCTGGAGATTAACATTATTCAGATTGCTGCTCAATTTTGCTAATGACATTGACCTGACTATGACTCGACATATGAGTCTTAGCTGGTGGTTCCGAATATTGCAATAATTTCTATATTTTCCAGTATCAGATCTAGAGCATGATCTTACAAAAAAAAACGCACATACAATGATAAAATCAATCGATTCAGATATGAACTTAAATCGTAATAATACATCTAAAAATATCAACTGTTAATTTTTCTGAATTCGTTGGTTCATCATTAGTAGCATATCACAAAAACTGCAATGCCGAATATATGAAAATACGACGTGGAAGATATTTTTTCATCATCCGTTCATCCTGGTTTCATCAATGGAATAAATTTAACAAACACAACTTGTTTTATTAATGATTATCGAAAATGTCTTCTCTTTTTAATTATTAAAAGATATTTAACTTGCAATGTATGTATGTAAGTATGTTTGTTCGGGTGGAATCTTTGAACTCAATTTTGAAGTAGATATACAGGGTGTCCCAAAATTGCTGGGACACAGAGCTACCACGTGTATATGAGGTCAAAATAAGTTGATTGGACCCAATTTATTTATGTGCCAAAATGTACCGTTTGTCCGTGAGAATGGTTCAAAGTTCACATAAAAAAACACATTTTTGTACGCTGTTCAGAAACAAGTGAGACGAATTTGATGAAATTTGGCAATAGTGTATTTCAGAGGTTTAATTTCCTTTTGGTAATCGAAGAAACCTGAAAAAAAATGTAGGAGGGTTAAAACCACCCTCACCCCCTGAAATTTTTTTCAGAACTTTTTTTAGGGGTCATGATACGGTTCTGAAATTTTTTGAGCTTGAAGACTAATCAATTACCTTCATTTTATTGCTCTTGTAAAAATTTCCTGTACCGCATAGTTTCGAAGAAAAAAAAAGTTTCTTCAAATCATGCTCAACTTATTTTGACCTCTTCTATACGTGGTAGCTCTGTGTCCCAGCAATGTTGGGACACCCTGTATATGTTCAACCGATTGAGCTGAAATTTTGTATACACGTTTAGTTTGGATGACAATGCACGATAAGGTGTGTAACGTTATTCTAAATCCAATGTGGCGGACCATCCAAGATGGCGCCGGAATACTTATTTTCAATATACTTCCACAATATGGGTATTAAATGAAGAGGCTCGTTGAGAGCAACTCGAAAAATAATGTGACGTCATTCTAAATCCAATATGGTGGACCATCCAAGATGGCGGACTAGTTATTTTTAACCTGCTTCTACAATATGGGTATCAAATGAAAGGGCTCGTTGAGAGAAACTGGAGAAATAATGTGACGTGAATCGAGTATGGCGGACCATCCAAGATGGCGGAATAGTTATTATTCATGCACTTCTGCAATATCGCCAATATCGGTGTCAAATGAAAGGCTTACCGGGAGTAATTACAAATCATGTGACATCACTTATCCAACATGGCTCACTATTGAAGTTTATTGAGCTTTCCTATAAAATGAAAGGGTTCGCTAAGAATGAAAATGCTGGTTTAGAAAATCGATTTTTAAGCCTGTAACAACGATTGTTTGACTAGGACTTGTGTGTAATTCGGCGAGATGGGTGTCATACTGACCTAATACTGACAATCCTAGCCAGCGATGACTAAAAAGTAAAAAATAAATTGGAAGTAAAATAAAAATTAAAACAAAGCTTTTATTCAAGTGCTCTAGAAAGAAGAAAAAAAATTGTCCTTTTAAATTTTAACTATCAACAACTTTAATCCTATTAAATATTGATCATCGTGAGAAGCTCTTATGATCATATGAATTGTGTATAATGAGGTTATACGTTAAAATAGATAGATAGAATCTTTAACTTTTGTTAGACAAAAAAACAAAATGGTGGCTCTAAAATGGCGGACGAGTTTGGTTAATATTATGATCCGATTCTTTTCAAAATTGGTATCTGGGGATTTTCGGGGTCAGAGATTATGATTCTCACATCGAAATTGGAAAATTCAAGATGGCGCATTCAATGTTGCAGACGAGTTTCGTAATTTATGATGCGTTTCTATTCAAAATTGATATCCGGTGGTTTGCGGGGTCGGAGATTATGATTGTTTCGTCAAAATTCGGGAATTCAAGATGGCGGAGCCAAAATGGCGTACGAGTTTTCTAATTATAATCTGATTCTATTCAAAATTGGTATCTGGGAGTTTTCGGGGTCGGAGATTATGGTTTTCTCGTCAAATTCGGAAATTCAAGATGACGGATCCAATATGGCGGAGGAGTTTTGGTAAAATTGGTATTTGTGGAGGTTGTTGGTGTCGAAGATTATGATTCTTTTGTCAAAATTGAAAAATTAAAGGTGGCGGATCCAATGTTGTTGCGGATGAGCTTCGTAATTATGATCCGTTTCTATTTGAAATTGGTATCTGGGGCTTTCATCATCAATACACTTGTTATATCACATACGATAATAATGGAAAACATGAAAAATGTGATCGGTCATGATTTCAGAGAAGTGGGGAAAGGACGTAAACTATCCATCATGTTTGTCTTCCAGTTGAGCCTACAATGAACTACTCTTTTTTTTCGTTATTTCAGTCAACATTGATGAGTTTGGTCCAATTCTTCGGAATAATTTTCCATGATGAGTTTGCTTCCATGGGAATATCAGCCGCACAAACATCATTTCTTCTTCACCTTCACAGTTCAATGTACTGTGTTGTAGGTAACTGACATTTGTATGGGTGTTTCTGGGTGTTTATGATTTTTTTTTCAGGTTTTGTTAGTAGCCCGTTGCTCAAAAAGTATAATTTTCAAGTGGTGGCTGTCCTAGGTGCCTTTTTCTGGTGTTTGGGTATTCTGATCACTAGTTTTGCTGATTCGTACTCGCTTTTGATATTTTCTGTATCACTTCTTATAGGTAAGAAATCTGCGGAAGATAAGATTATTATTTTCGGAACAATTATATATTCTTTAATTTGAGGTAGATAGGTATATGCATTTTCCGAAGGTTTGAAATATTATTTTTCATCGTTTGTCTGAAATATTGTTGAATAATTATTCAAGCGGAGTAACATTCTATAGTTTTATAAACGTTTCATGATAACTTGTCGATCAAGAATCATACTCTTTCATATTTCTATGAGCAGAAATCTATAATTTTTTTAATATAAAACACAATTTCGAGCAGAGTTTCAATAATGAAATAATTATGGAATTTCAAATTCTGCATTGGCTTTGCACAAGAATCTGAAGAAAAGAAAAAGCAATCAAATGAGGTATTTTGATTTCAGTTGAACTATCGATTGTTCTTGGTTCTGGAAATATTTATTGTTTTCAAAAACTCGAAAAAATGCTAGTGTTTGGTATTCCATGAATATAAATCTGGTTCTATCTACAGGGTGTTTCATAGGTAAAGGGAAATATTTCAATGGTAGATAGGGGTCACCAAGGTGGTTCTGAAAATACCATATTTGATAGGTCTTAGAGTCTTCATAACGGATATACAAAGTGATTTATCGATTTCGAATAATTATTCATTCGTCTATATGTATTGACCCACCCAGTATATTTTTCTCAAATTTGGTGAGGAGCTTATACTTGGGACGTTAAATTTATTCATCTATCGGGCGGAGTGAAAATCCAGGTTCGGCTTTAGGAAAAATTTACATTTATTCGAAATATTGAAATAACACACTGTATTCATTAATTAACACAGTACATCAAAAGAATTGTGAAGAGGAGAAAAAACTGAATTGTGTATGATGCTTTTTGTTTTCCCGCCACCAATTCTCATCGTAACAATCATAAACAGAAAGTTGAAACTATGTCAATTTAAAGAGTACCATAATGGAATTATGAAACCAGTGTCAACTATGATTATTTGATATTTCAGTCAAAAATTCGCTCGAAAGAACTCACTAAGTCTCACGACAGTCTCCATGAGTCTTAAACTACCCAGTAACATTTTCTCAAATTTGGTAGGTATGTAGCTTACTTGAGACGATGGATTCATTGACCTATCAGGCGGAATGGAAATAATACCAAATAATTATAATTCGATAATTCACCCTGTATCTCTGTTATAAAGACTATGAGACTTTTTCTGAAGCTGAACCTGTATTTCCATTCTGCCTGATAGGTCAATGAATCCATCGTCCCAAGTAAGCTCAATACCAAATTTGAGAAAATATTACTGCTATGGGTAGTCTAATACTTATATGGACGAGTGAATAATTATTCGATATCGATAATTCACCCTGTATCTCTGTTACAAAGACTGTGAGACTGAGTAAGTTCTTTCGAACGATCATTTAACAAGAATATATCAAATAATCATAATTAAAAGTGATTTCATCATTTCAATACTCTTCAAATTGACATACTTTTAGCTTTCTGTTTATGATTGTTACGATGAGAATTGGTGGCGGGAAAACAAAAAGCATCAAATCCAGTTCAGTTTTTCCTCCTCTTCACGATTCCTTTGATGAACTCTGTCAATTATTACATACAGTGTGTTATTGTGTGTTATTTTAATATTTCGAATAAATGTAAATTTTTCCTGAAGCCGAACCTGGATTTTCACTTCACCCGATAGGTGAATGAATTCAACGTCCAAAGTATAAGCTCCATACCAAATTTTAGAAAAATATACTGAGTAGTTCAATACTTATAGACTAATGAATAATTATTCGAAATCGATAAATCGCCCTGTATCTCCGTTATGAAGACTCTAAGACCTATCAAATATGGTATTTTCAGAACCACCTTGGTGACCCCTATGTACCAATGAAATATTTCCCTTTATCTGTGAAACACCCTGTATATACTCAAGATTACGAATTGAATTCCTGAAATTCACTTTTCAAAACGCAATTTTTCGATAGAACTGCTCATACATTTATTTTTATTCCTAACCTCACTTCATTTAAGAACCTTTCAATATTAGAGCATGACATCAAATAATATCACTACATCTTCAATGTATGTTCTAAGATAAATAACTTGTTTTCACTTGCATAACAGAACTTGAGCAATATCAAAAGACCTTATAGCTATAATATAAGCGAGAAACAAACGAATAGCATTTGACAAAATGGAGCCTCGTTCGATACCCAATATAGCATCCTGCATATTTTTGCTAAGTCTGAAAAAATATGTATTATATCTAAGTTGTATCATAATTGTTTGTAGTGATCTCTTGTTATTTTTCTAATAATAATAGTAATATTTTGTTTGGGTTAGGAAAATTCGATGAAATTAGGGGAATACTTTTTGAAATGAAGAAAGTTGAAGTTACTGGGACCGGAAACGCGTTTATTTTCAGGACTGGGTCAAGGAATCTTGCTGCCTGCAACATACCTCGCCACATACTCATACTTCAAGAAAAGACTGACTCTGGCTGTAAGCATTTCGACCACTGGCGCCAGCCTGGCGTCCATTTTCATGCCGAAAGTGTGCGATATTTTGCTGGCGCGTCTGGGCAGGCGCAACACCGTCCTAGTATTATTTGCGAATTCGCTTTTGTCGTTGGTGGGTGTATTCCTTCTGAGACCGGTGAGGAGGAATGATCCGGTTGTGGTGAACGAATCGCAGAAGATGAAGGAATTGGAGGAACTGAAGAGATCTGAAGATGAGACAATTAATTGCGATATGATGGTGAAGGTATTTTTCATTATATCCGAATATTCGTTGGGTTGAATTTATATCCAACCGATTTCACATTCTCCCAATTTCTTCCAATTCGTTTGATCTCCATTCAATCTCCCTCAGTAATCAAATTCCTCCACGCCTCATGATCTCTTTCAATGTATCCATCATCCTATTGTTTTTCTCAATTTTGTATCGATTGATAAAGGTACATATATATACCATCAATTCTTTTTATTTTCATCATTTTGCTATCAATACCTCAATTTGATTTCAATGTTTCTAATTCATGTCCGTTTTCTGATTTTTTCTCTGTTTGTGCCCACAAATTCTCATCGGTTTCTTTTGTGTCCTTCCAAATCCCCTATTATCATGGAATACTACTGAAGTTCCATTTCCTCTCCCAATATGTCCCTTTGTTTCTGGATTTTCAACCCACCCTCTTCATTGCCTTTCAATTTTGATCATGTACTTCAACTCCCTAAGTTTCTCAAATGTTGAATCATTCTCTCCTTATTCTTTCAAACCTATTCAAAATCCATTTGTTAACTAGATTCCTGCCAATTACCACCAATTTCCTTGATTTCAAATGATGGTCTCCTTTTCTTCACTTTTATTAAAATTTCTCGAAGATATTTTATAACTTTCAATATCCTCTATTTCTCTCAATTCATTCCCAGCTTTTTCTTTCTTCCATGAGTTCTATATTTTTTGTCCCAATTTGTCTGATTGAAATCCATTTCTCCAACATAATCTCCATTTCTCCAACGAAATCTCCATTTCTCCAACGTAATCTCTATTTCTCCCAATTCCTGTATCCAGTTCTCTACATTTTGTATCAATATCTGCATTGTCTTCTCTCTGTGGTTACCATGTCATTCAATTCATCTGCTTACTATAATCCCCCCTCAGAGGTGCTTCAGTCGTAAGAGTTTGGTCCTTTGTAGCCAACCTAAGTCATCAACTTCATTTTTTTTTTCATTCCTCTCAATCATTCTCAACTCATGATAATTACCGGGTTTTTTTCTAAGAAGTTCACAAGTAGGATATTCTTTCGTGATGCCAAGAAATCGTTCAGTTGCAGGAAAATTTACACGATCAGCTGTTGACCTCCAACGTGTACAACGAAACGTCTCTACCTTGCGCTAAACCCTAAAACGTCTTGCTCGCCAAACTCTATGACCTCTTCGACCTCCACCTCTTCAAGCACCTCTCCTTCATTCTGGTGGTGGTCGGCCTTGGAATATCTTTTTCGTCCGAGCTCAAACTCAACTTGGTGATGCAGGTTCTGCTGCCGGAACTGTCGAATTTCAATTGCCTATCAATATCTTCATTGTTTTTTTCTATAATTCTGATTTCCTCACCAGAATATGTACGAGCCTTTTCTCCGTCATTACCATGTCATTTACTTCATTGCCTTCCTAATGCACATCAATTCCTTCCAGTTTCCACTAATTTCCTGCATTTACTACAATCTCCATTCAGTCCCTCATAGTGTCTTCCAGTCATTCACATAAATTTCCTTCATTTTCAAGTCATTTTCTATCACAAGTTGTTAGAGTTTGGGCCCCTGCGGCATACCTAGCTCACCAACTCCATTTCCTTTCAATTCCTCCCAATCCTCAATTCCTGATAATTATCTTTATAGCCCTGTTTTTTCAAGTAGTGGCTATTTGTCATAGTGATGGCAAGAAATTCTTCAATTGCAGGAAAATACACGAGATCAGCTGTTGACCTCCAACGTATACAACGAAACGACGCTACCCTGCGCAAAACCCAAAAACGGCCTGCTCACCAAACTCTACGATCTTTTCGACCTCGACCTCTTCAAGCACCTCCCCTTCATTCTGGTGGTGGTCGGCCTTGGAATATCTTTTTCGGCCGAGCTAAACGTCATCTTGATGATGCAGTTTCTGCTGCCGGAACTGTCGAATTTCACGAGGTCTGACGTGGCGAACGTGACTTCGTTCCAGTTCGCTTTCGATATCGTCGGGAGGTTGCTGGTGCCGTTTTTGGGGTATAGGTTGGATGTGGCTCCCAAGTTGATGTATATGGGGGCTTTGGTGCTGGCGACTTTTGCCAGAACAGGTGAGTACAGGGTCTCAACAAATTGTGGTTTCAGCCATTGTCGATCTGAATGGTAATATTGATTTTTCTACGGCTATAACACAAAATTGCTCTTGTTATACGACGCTATACATAGTGGAGTATACTACGGCCTTGCCAAAAATGCTATCTCGGAAACTAAGCGAGAAAGAGGTATAGTTACTTTGGAGAAAATGATCCCCATCGAATTTTGAGCAACTTTGGTTTTTGTGTGTGGTCTGTCTGTCTGTACTCTGTGGTAATCATAAATCGATATATCTCCGGAACCCTTTGACATATCGACTTGAAATTTTGCCATCTTATTGTACTCGAAACAATATTATGTCATTAAAATATGAAGGAAATCGGAAAACTCTGAGTTGGTTTTTCCGGGTTTTTTCGATTTTTCACCGGAAGTTTCTTGTGACCACTCTACAAATCGCAAGAGTGGTCCGATCGATTTCATTTTTCGTGAAAAAAAAACTCTATCAGAGAGAGACGAAGCCTATTGAAATTGAGCAGGGTCGGGAAATTCCAAGTGGGTTTTTCAAGGAGATTTTCCGAAACACACGGTTCGCTTTAAAACGACATATCTCCTGAACCAATAGACTAAATCCAAATTTGAAAAATGCACCGTATGCCTCTTTGATGACGCAACAAATTATTATTTAACCATTTTTTCGTGCATCCATCGGAAAATGGAAAAACGAATGAAAATCAAAACATCAAAATTTGAAATCCTTTCAATTCAATATATATCGAAAACAAATGGAAAAATCGAAAATTATCAAAAGTGCAAAGCTATCAACTGGAACATTTCCTACAAATTATTACCCATAGTTTTTTCTGTAAACCCAATAGTACAGGAACTGAAGTGAAAAATATGAAAAAACAAATTTGAACGACCCATAGGGTACCATGAAGATATATTGAAAAACAAAGATTATCGATAGATGAAGCTCATCGACTTCCACTGAACCATGAAATATTTTTTCCTTTTGTTGATTGAAAGATGGAACAAAAGTGTTGAAAATTTTATTCTCAGATAATTTCAAATATCTCGAAAACAACTGAAAATATCTGAAAATATTATAGAACCAAAATTATTCATTTTTATAGAATATACAAAAAATCCATATAACATTTTTCTCTGAATTCAATAGTTCGGGAGATACGATGAAAAAACTAAAAAATTCACAAGTTCCTAGATAATCACTTGCCAATAGAAAACAAAACAAAAAACGAAAGATAGTAAAAAAGCACACTCGACTGTCTTGATTTTTTCCCACAAACTACGTACCTAGCTCATTCGACTGTCTTGATTTCCCACAAAGAAGAAATATGTTGGCACTGTTTCAACTTTCTTTTGTTTCTGTTTTTTTAGTCCTTATTGGCAGTCGAGTGGGCTAGGTACGTAGTTTGTGTGGAAAAACCAAGACAGTCGAGTGGGCTAAGTACGTAGTTTGTGGGAAAAATCTCCAGTTCTCTGAACTTTCATAGCGTCGTATACACATCTTTGGTGCTCAATGATAGTTTCAATATAAAAATATGCTCATGATATGGTGCCATGGCCTCTACTTCCATCTTACATGAGCAATGATAAAATATCATCTGCTTTTATAGCGTCGTATAAATTATCTGTCCTCTATACAGAACTAATACTTATTGAAAACTACATCTATATTAATCTGATACTTTTCAAAAACTACGTACCTCACTTGTTTTACTGTGCTCGATACATCAATGAGGTACTGTGTATGTCATCAATTTTATTAACGTATCTCATATCACAATGACCCCATTGTGTTATTATTTAAAAAAAATCTCATGGCTCATAGACTGTCAAATTTCAAGCAATAACAGCTCTGGCTAATAGATGTGTGCATAACTCCAGAGCGAATCAGATGGCTACAAGACGAAGAAATCAAAAATGCCGCTGTTATCTGTTACAGTCGTAGAAATATTATAGTGTATATCTCGCATGGAATGCTAATTTCCCACTCTAATGATTGCAGCAATCGTCTACTGCTCATGCTGCAAAGTTCATTTTCGTGGGAAATCACTGTCATTCCGTGCTCATTAAACAATTTACTATTTTCTACGACTATAACACGAAATTTCTCTTGTTTTACTGTGTTTGATAAATGTTTCATTGTGTTCAATAAATCAATGAGGTAATTTGTATGTCATCAATTTCATTTCCTTGTCTAATAACACAATGTGTTTATCACATTGTCTTATGATTTCACAAAATCTCTTCTCCCATGAAATGTCAAATTTCGAGCAATGGCTGCTCTGTCTGATAAATGAGTATTACCTAAGAGAAAATCAGATGGCAACAAGCCGAAGATATAAAAAATGATCTGTTACAGCCCTAGAAAAAGTATATGTGTATGATATTGTCTATTCATCGGAAAAAACAATTGCGGAAATCGCCCTCAGAGGCGCGTAATGCTTTGGACCGATTCGAAACTATCCCAAACTAGTTTATTTTAAATGAAAACACAAAACCTGTGGAATACGAAACATTCTGATGGTTGCCGAAAAGTGCTGAACTACGTTCCAAATAAGAATACAGTAGGTGACGCTGCCTCTGATGGAATCTTTACACTGATGAAATAAATATAATGGCGCCTTATTTTCAGGTTTTATTGTATTGTAACATATGAAATATACAACAAATAAATGGAATGTTTGTCTTCACGTCACGTCACATGTCATAATATTAGGCGATTCCCTATGGTTACCAATGCTGTCTTCTAAGTTGGAATGGACTATACTGACAATAGTGTGATGACTATTCTATTGTTTCGTTGCAGTTCTTGCAGTTTTCGGCGAGTCCTTTGGAGTAGTTTACTTCTCCTGTTGTTTGATCGGTCTGACAAAGGGCACCAGAGCGGTGTATCAATCGGTGATAATTCCGAAAATCGTGCCTCTGGAAAAAATTCCTGCTGCCAATGGCATCAACATGTTGTTCAATGGAGGCATTTCGCTGGTGCTCGGACCCATAATAGGTGAGAATGATTATTGATTGTCGGATAATGTATTGGAATGGGCTGGTGGACTGGTAGTCAATAATTGGCATTCAATTACTCCACTCTGTTGATACAGATCCCAGATCTGAATTAATTTTTGCAGCACTTCCTACGCGTTTGATGAAAATAATGAGTTGTTTGAAATTGTTGAATTTCAAAGCTCGTTTCAAACGTGCCGTCATGGCCGCCATTTTGGTTATAGAGGGTCAGTCAAAAGTGTTTTCCTTCTATATTGGCCAAATCGTCAGATAAATTGAAATAATTCGAATACAACAGTTATAGGGTTTCTTGGGAACAATCACCTAAAATTATTTTCATATCTATCTGTTGATGATGGGTGTTTTCAAATGAGACACTCTGTATATTATTACATTTTCAGATCCTCCCTTGAGAGCTGATTTCATCAATGTATCACACTTGAGGACAAACTGAAATTTTTATAGAGATCTGGTCGAATCGGCTCACATGTTCCTATCTCAACTTTTGATTCACCATCTACTGACACTTAATTGGAACAAATACAGGATGGTTCAAAATTCAAGATTCCTGATCATCCTGTATCAATTCCAATTGAATTTCAGTAGATAGTAATTCAAACGTTGAGATAGGGACATGTAAGCCGTTTCGACCAATAATAAATAGTTCCCAAATTTGAAAATTTTCGATTCTGAACACCCTATATTTCTGTAATCATTTTCGCTAGACCCCAAGTGTGATACATTGATGCAAAAATATACAGGGTGTCCCATTCAAAAACACCCATCATCAGCCGATATCTTGAAATTCGAACATCCTATAGATATGAAAATAATTTTAGGTGACAGGTCTCATGAAATTCTATAACTGTTATATCCAATTTTTTTTATATACCTGTCGGTTTGGCTAATATCGAAGGAGAACACACTATTGACTCACCCTGTATATGTCGGATATATAGTGATGTCAGTTCTCATGCTTCTTCCCATTCCCACTCATGAAGCAAGGTTGTCAAAACACCAATTATAATCATGTTATTAAAAAGTTATTAGAGCCCTTTCGTTGAAACTACATCCAAATATTAATTTCAGGTAAGATACATATCTTTGCTGTTATATATTCACTCATTCTGAGGCGTTAAGGGTATTTTTTTGGGGTCTCCAAAGTACTATTTTTTGCATATAGTGAAACGGTACTGGCTTGTGCCAAAGCTTTGTACGTAACGGCAAACCTCGTGATTTCTGCACCCCATTTAGATCATCCCTGAGACGTTTTGTCTCATCTTGGCCTAATAGGAGAAAACCATGATATTATTGTTATTAATTTCAGACTTTTTCGCGCAACCAGCTTGTCAAAATATTTTTTATATACTGTAAAAAACACCATGTGAATATTTGCTATAGATACTTGGCAACGCTGTGCTGAATGCTGAGAACTGACAAGACAACGTCCACAGTCCTATGTTGTCACGTTTACAGGACCAAATGTCTTCTAATGTGACTCAACATAATTATTATTAACACACATTTATCATAAGCAATAGGACACATGAGAGGGACAATTTTCAGACAATGGCTTTTTATAGCTAATGAAGGATATTATCAATACACAATTAAGGATTTATGAATTATTAAATAATTAATATTTTTGAAGTTCCCATTCGTATTTCAACATATGCAACTGTGCAATATGCTCTGCCCCTACTTATGAAATCGTGACATCCGTTTTTACGGTATATTTCTTGCCGTTTGAAAATAACTGGAATTATTGATAATTTATTCACCTCAAAATCGACCGAAAAAAATTTAAAAAAATCTGTAATCGAAAGGTAATTGATTGATATCATATAAAATAAAATGGTCCACTAGCTAATTACAGCATTGACCTCTAAACAAGAATTGTTTACAGTGACCTATTATCACAATTTAAACAAAAAAAGGTAAATATTTGGTTTGTGATCTTAATACCAGGTTTCCGAACATAGGTAACCTAAAGAATAAGAAACTGAACAAACATATACTCATGTACTCAAATACTCAAATACACAAGTTTCCAAAATATTCATATAATAATGATCATTTTACGCGCATACCTAGACACTGCACAAGCCCATATGAAATGAGCCCTTTTTATATGAGGAAATCTTGATAGGTACTGAATTTTGAGACACCCTGTATATTATTTTCTGAAATATTTAGGTGCCATCCATGATGCAGCTGAATCGTATGTACCTGCTCTACATACTGCTTCGGCCTTATCATTCACTTGTGTCATTTTATGGGTATTGGACAGTATATTTCGCAAGAAGAAAGCAGTGATTCCGGATCTGTAAGATAAGCAAAAAAACACTAAATATTGAAGGTGTATTGTTTCGTATTTGTAGCTTTCCATATCTCAGTTTTCATTATCTTTATCCTTGTCTTTATCATTTGTTATATTTTTGACTCATCCACTTTCATTTTCGTGTTCCAAGATTATAATATTCCTGATATATTATTTTTTTCATGTAAACTCAGAGTCTTCTCTCATTGTCCATTGTTGATGTTGATATGGATAAAATATGTTTGATAATGACAATTTATAAGTTCAGTTAAGTTACTGGTAGGTAGGTTATGATGAATAATTATATTATTCATCATTGAAAATACAGTGAGCAAGTGAAGGTTTGAACAAATTAATTAAATCTTTATATGGCCATTGGGAATGAAACTCAGGCACGACGATTATTGTCTTTTTCAGATGCGCATTTGTTGGTGTACATTTTTGATGATCTTTATAAATTACATTATTATGAATGTCATCTCTTATTTTTCGAAAATACGGCTATAGAACATGGAAAGAAATAGAAAAATAATATGATATCCATATACACAGAAAAATGCGATCTTCCTGAAGATATTATGCAAATAGAGTAATTATAATGACGTCATAAGTTGAACAGTGATGACGTCATAGAAAATATGAGTAGACCAAAGAATACGCAACTGCGAAAGAAAGTCCAGCTTTTTTGCCCATATCAAGCTTTAAACGAATTTGTTCCAACATTTACGTTCTCACTGTATAAAAATCGATAACGTCGCATATCAACTAGCTCAATCTGATTTACCAAGTTTATAATAACAAGTCAGTGGATAATCTCACATGTTTGATTACATCTTTCATACTATTACAGGTATAATTAGATCGAAAACTTGTTTACCCTATCTTGTATTTAAACGCCCCCATCAATGAATTCATGATATACACTGATAATGACATAGATTTTTCAACTTGAATTGGAACTGAGACGACTATGAAGTGAATCCTTCTATTTTGGATCATCAGTGTGTTTCTTGCTCTATGAAATTGAAGTTTATAAGTGTAGTAATTCTTCATTTCTTCATCATTATGTGCTATTCTTGTAGAACTCATCGAAATCTTGTGTTGTGGTGCAAGGCATCTGTTTATTTTCATTGACAAGGCCTAAATCAAGGTTAATTTCTTTCAAATTGGATAATTTGGAAGTTGTGTGGATCACATGCTTGTAGGTTTGTTTTTCATGGATCTTGCAGTGTATATTATAACCATGCAAGTTATATTTGCAAAAACGTGTTCTAGTATATTTTCAATTAACTTGACTTAACTCTTTATGCAGGGTGTTTCATAATATATGCGCAGGGCTTCAGGATGTGAGAGTTCGTTCACAAATATGAAAAAAGTTTCTATTAACTCACCCTTTGAAATGCACTATTTTCGAGATACAGAGCTAGGGTGTTGAAATTTGGGAAAAAAATCGTTTTTCGAGAATATGTTTTGTGGGGAATTCACATTTTTTCAGGTCATAATTGGTGAAGATTCTGAAGGGGTAGTGAGTGTTTTCCTACCCAACTTCTACGCCACTGGAAAAAGTACAGTTTTGAGCAACTCATTTGAACTGCCAATATTTCCTACACAAAAAAATGTTACTCTTGGCCAAAGGCTCTAAATTTGACCGTTTTCGGGAAAAATCAACTTTTATGTTGAAAGTCATGGTAAATTTTTTGAAAAATTGCTGCGTGCAGGACATTTCCAACAATTTGTAGATACAATAGTATCACAATGCAACTAATTTAACTGAGTAAGATTTGCTATTGTTTTCTTTTCATTTTTGTAATATGAAGTTAACGTTTGGTTTTGTTACTTGTTCTGAAGTTTAAATGGATTTTGTTTAATTGTTGAAAAAAGTGTTTTTCCATAAATTTACCGTGTTTTTCAACATGAAAGTTCAATTTTTCTCAAAAACGGATATTATGACAACAAGAATTTTTTTGTGTAGAAAACATTGGCCGTTCGAATGGGCGGCTCAAAACTGTACTTTTTCCAGTGGCGTAGAAGTTAGGGAGAAAAACATCCACTAACCCTTCAAAATCTTCACTAATTATGACCCAAAAACAAAAAAAATCCGCACCAAACATAGCTTATTGTGAGTAGAAAATGGTTACGCAAGTTGTTCTCTGTGCGATAAACGGTTCCAAAGATATTCGCAAAAAACTAACTTTTTTTCTTTAATTTCAACACCCTGTATTTCAAAAATGTTGCATTTTAGGGGGTAAGTTAATGGAATCTTCTTTCATACTTTTGGACAAGCTATGAGTACCTGAAGTCCTGAGCATATATTAAAAGACACCCTATACTTAAAACTCTCAGCTATTAATTATATAGTCCTGCGATTCGTACCAAATTTGGACCAGTATGAATAACCATTAATTTGGACATTGCCGTGCGTTTTTATTGGAATAAAAAAGAGTATATTTTTTATGAAATCATAATAGGAATTTTTTGCAGACAAACTAACTTCATATTATTGTTCCTCGTTGTTTTTATTTTCTGTCTAGGAAAAATATAGTGAATTCAAATTAACTGCAAACTTTGCAACGGTCCAAGCTCCAGTAGGTAGAAAATTATGGTTTGATGGAAAAAACGTTTCCGAGTAAATAATCATTTACCTTCGCAAAAACGCTATTTAGATTTGTCTACTTTTTGAACTCTTCATAGAAATCATATGACAATTTAAATGTGGGAGTTTGGAACCATGAGGTTAATGGGGTCAGTTTTTTTAGCAAAGAAAATCCTAATATATTATGATTTCATAAAACAATTACCCTATCTAATTATCTTAAAAATGCACAGCTTTGTGGGAAATTTGATGTTTTTTTTTTATTATTGTTTGCTCTTTGTTCTGAAGTACTTGAATTAGAGGCTAAAAGGTGTATTATTTTAGGTGAATAGTTTCATCACACTTATTATTATATTATATCATGCTCAGTCCATTGAATTGGAATAGTGTTTCTTTCGTCAAAAAATAATCAAAATGTATTTAAGTTAAACACGAACATGTAGAATAAAGACTGAACATGTACCTGTTGAAACATAAATCATCTCTTGGTAGGTCGTGATGCTTACGATACTACAGGGTGACTTACTATTTCCATTTTCACGTCTACCAGAGATTATTTTCATAGGATCTGTAAATACATTTCATTAAAAGACTTGTTGAATGTATAATAATATGTTTCTTTCTTTAAATATGCCCTAATACCTGAGGTATACTGAATATAAGTTTATTTTCCCACATCAGCAGCTAAGAGCTTCTCTAATTCTATTTCTTTGAACAAATCTTATGAATAATTGACTCACATCATACAGGGTGACAATTTGATAACGAGCAGCACTCCATATTCCTTTAACTGATGACACTATGAAATCACGTCAATTCATTAATACCTATCAAGGGCGTTCTTTATACAAGGTGATTCTAAAATAGGTGGTCAAACTTTGGGAGTATATAGAGTGAGTGAAATAATTACGAAAACCTCGGTAACATTTTTTTCTGAAGTGCCCCCCAAGAAAGATACAGCCCCTCAAAGGGGGGCCTCGGAGAATGATTTTGTACTATTATCGCCAACACCTTGTAAGATGAAAATCTAAAATTTAGTTTATCCACTAACTATTCAGTGCCGGTTCGAATGGAGTTAAAATCACCTCAAAATTAAATACAGGGGTGTGTCAAAACAGGGAGGTAGGGGGTAAAAATAACCCCAACTTTTTTGTTCATCGCAATTTCAGTTTTTTTACATGAAATTATGAAATCTCAGAGCTATCAACATAGAAAACGAGCTCTTGTTGGATCTCGATAAACTGAACCATTAGCGAATAAAAATTATTTTTCCAAGATTTCATTTAAATTGCAATTTTGGTATGCACTTGAGTTTAATTATCTAGTTCAAATCTTGCAACTGAATTTTCACCTACATCTAATCGTCTGATCAACTTGGAATCTGGCAGATGAAAGTTGACAACGCGTTATGGACTTTTTGATAGAAAAAAATATGACGGCTCCAATGTGGCTGACCAGATTTGTGATTATGGTTCGATTCGATTCAAAATTGGTTTGTTAGGGTTTTTGGGGTTGGAAATTTTGAATTCATTGTCGGAATTGATGAATTAACAATAGACGACGAGTTTCGTGATTATGGTCTGATCCTATTGAAAATACTAAAATGAAAAATATTGTTAATAACAAGCTTTTTTAAATTTTATTCGCTAATAGTTAATTTTATCGAGATGCAACAAGAGCACCTTTTTCATGTAAATAGCTCTGAGATTTCATAATTTCATGTCAAAAAACTGAAATTGCGATGAACAAAAAAGTTGGGGTTATTTTTACCCCCTACCTCCCTATTTTGAGACACCCCTGTATTTTATTTTCAGGTGATTTCAACCCCATTCGAACCGGCACTGAATAGTAAGCGGAAAGACAAAATTTCAGATTTCCATTATACAAGGTGTTGGAGATAATAATACAAAATCATTCTCCGAGGCCCCCGTTTGAGGGGCTGTATCTTTCTTGGGGGTCACTTCAGAAAAAAATGTTACGGAGGTTTTCGTAATTATTTCACCCACTCTATATGCTCCCAAAATTTGACCACCTATTTTAGAATCACCTTGTATAAACTCATGAATTTTTGGATTGTTACTCATTTGAGTTAAGCTAGGTACCAACTCAATTGAACGTTTGAAATCATACATTAAAATAACCATTTTTAATGTTAGCAGATTCGGTCCCGAAACGTCCAAAGATGAGTGAAAATTTGATATTTTTTCTATATACCTTTATTTCTCTTCTCCAAACCATTTTCAATACAAATTGTCACTGACAAGCTAGTGAATTATTCTTTTAGGCTCTCTGATAGGAAAATTCTTTAAATGCAATGACATTTTGGGGCAAATCATCTGATTTGTCCTTACTACACGTATATTGAAATAATATCCATATTTTAATTTTATAGAAACGAGAGAAAATCCCAAAAAATTTTGAATAATGAATGTACCACCTCCTCGATTAACCTACAGACAGTACTTCTTTTTAGTTCTCTATCTATAGAAGTGTGCGGTTCTTTAGTTTTTCAAACTACCATTTATTTTAACTTCTTTTAAGTTTACTTGAATTTCCCAATTTTGACGAAAGAATCATAATATCCGACTCCTAAAACCCCAGATGAAAATTTCGAATGGAATCGGAACGTAATTACAAAACTCGATCGCAGTATTGTATCTACCATCTTGAATTCCCTAATTTTGACGGAGGAATCATAATTTTTGATCTCGAAAACGCCCACTTACAAATTTTGTATAGAATCGGTATATAATTACAAAACTCGTCCGCTATATTGGTTCCACCGTCTTGAATTTCCAAATCCCACCCTTTCCCAATTTTGACAAAAGAATCATAACCTCCGACTCCGAAAACACCCAGATAACGATTTTGAAGAGAGTCGGATCATAATTACAATACTCGTCCGCCATATTTATTGGGTCCGCCACCTTGAATTCCCTAATTTTGACGAAAGAATCATAATCTCCGACCCCGAGAACCACCAGATACCAAATTTGAATAAAACGGATCCTAATTACAAAATTCGCCATTTTGGATCCGCCATCTTGAATTTATTAATTTTGACGAAGGAATCATAATCCTCGATCACGAAAACCCCTATAAATAGGTACCAATTTTGAAAAGAATCGGATTATAATTACAAAACTCGTCCGCCATATATTGGTTCCGCCATCTTGAATTTCCAAATTCCGTCCGAATTATCAAATTCTGACGAAAGAATCATAATCTTCAACCTCAAAAACTCCAGTTACCAATTTTGAATAGAATCGAACCATAATTACAAAATTCGTCCGATATATTAGATCCGCCTTCTCCTAGTTTCAAGCGACCTCCCAACCAATTTTCAGCCAAATCGATCCAGTAGTTTCGGAGCCGTTTCAATATACATACACACAAATAAACAAACAATCAAATCTTTCCTCTATAATATTGGTGTCAAGCACAGGGTGGCCAACTAAGAATCCAGAGTTCGATTTCTCTGTTGTCTTGAGAGATACAAAAAAAATTCAATTATCAAAATTGAAGTAATAACCGAGCTTCACATTTCAAAATTTCTTTGAAATACACAGGGTGTTCAGTAAGGTCACAGCACATCAAAGCTATGTTTTTTTCATTGGAACACCCTATATTTTATTTCATTTTTGAATTCTCCCTGAAGACATTTAATTAAAACAAATTATAAATTCAGATTTTTTGACCACCTTGTATCAATTTCAATTGAACACCAATTGATAGTGAATGAAAAGTTGAGATAGGGACATGTAAACCGTTTTGACGAATAATGAACAGTTTCGACAGAAAAAAATCCTGAACTTGGAAAATCTCGATTTTGCACACATATGTCAGTAACTTTCACTGCTAGACCCTGAGTATGATGGGTCGTTGTAATCAGATCTTCAGGGAGAATTCAAAAATGAAATAAAATATTGGGTGTTCCAATGAAAAAAACATAGCTTTGATGTGCTGTGACCTTACGGAACACCCTGTGTATTTCAAAGAAATATTGAAATGTGGAGCTCGGTTATTACTTCAATTTTGATCCATGAATTTTTTTGTATCTCTCAAGACAACAGAGAAATCGAACTCTGGAGTCTTAGTTGGCCACCCTGTACATTTAGGAACTCTACTAAAAACTAATGACTCAAAACTTCAAACTGCTTCATAAATCGACCATGAATCAACATACAACACATTTATATCTCAAATATTTGTTGTCTTTCCATAATAACTGATTATCCGTTCTGCTTCCCTGAAACCTGTTTCGACTGCTCCGTGCACGTTGGAATAGTGATGCGGATGGGTGCCCTCGCCGGCAAACTGGAGGATCAGTCTACCCTGAGCCGTTCTGATGGGATCCGCCAAATCTTCCTGAGCACTTGTTGCTTTTTTGCCCTTCTTGGCTGCAGGCGTCTGGTAGGAGTATGTGCCTCTGAAATGAGGGTTACTTTGCCAGTCGGAACTGAAACAATAAAAATATCACCTGGACAAAACCATCTCATTTCACTTTATCAAAAATGAAACATCTTGTATATATATAATATACGAGGCAACCAGATGCCGTTTCAGTGACGTCGTTTTTACGTCAGTTGAAAGACCAAGGTGACGTCAGTAGTTGACGTCGCATGACGTGACGTGAATAAGTCACAGCCCAAAATGACATCATATTACTCACGTCGTATTGACGTCATTCACTCACCAAACTGTGACGTCCGACTGACGTCCTAATGACGTCAAAATGACGTTCAAATTTGGTGATGATACGTAAAAAAGATTCCTTCAACATGGTGTGATAAACACCACTGGCCTCTGATGACATGATATATAATATTGATTATACATTGTTGAGTCTGCTTGATGGGTCCCTCCCGTGTCATGTCCATTCAATCGCCTATTCAGCAGCGCTAGCCTTCAGTACGCATCTCCATCAGAATGCAATCAGTTACTCGTATTTGTATAACAAATTATGTAGTTTGTGTCAGCGATCGAGATGTAAGCAAACCAAAAATAGTTTGATAGCAATGGAAAGGATATGTTGGCGAATTTGGCTTCACTTTGTTGAATAATTTATAGTGATGCATTCTTTGTCACCCAACAAAAGTCGAAATATTATTGGAAAATTTTGTGAATGACGAAGCTCAAAAAATTGGTACGTCACACCGACGTTTATTCTTAGACGTCATAGATACGTCACTGCAACGCCATAAGAGTGACGGTTTCAATATAGGTATTCCTAAACAATCATTTGTATATATACACATAGCCTGTTGGTTTCCGAGATATACAGTGTGTCAAAGTTTGAAAAAAAAGTTTCCTCCTACTTTTCGAGTATATTAATAATTTCAATAAAACTAAAATCTTGATTTGCTTTCATGAGTTATACTTCTGTTTCACATGATAATAATTTATAAGTTTCCATGGTTTAGAGAAGGTCTGGGAAAAATGGACGTCGACAGGACGTCCCTGCTGCAACGTCATGAAAATGACGTTTTCTTTTACCCATCTAAGTGACGTTCACTCGACGTCGAAACGATGATGTGATTATCACGTCATAGAAAGTACGTCATAGTGATGTCATAAATTGGCGTGTGACGTCTCTGACGAAAAATCACCAATTAGGGACGTCACAGTGACGTGATCATTCGTCATCTGGTTGCCTGGGATGTTTCCTTGAATGAGTCTATACAATTTGATCAAATGACAATATACATTATACATTTCTCGGAATTCATGATTCTCGAGGATCATGAATTTCGAATATATTTGTGTGAAGGTAGAGGTAAGTAAATGAAGGAGCATTCAAACCATTTGCAATGAAATCAATCGTGCTTCATAGGTGAGAGAAAATGGCAGATAACTTCAATAAGAAAGGAGGAAAAAAGAAGAAAAGAAGAAAGAAAATATATTTTTTACTTATTTATAATAGATTCCAAAACTGAGCTTGGATACATTATGGATATCCTTGAAGGATAAATTATAGTTATCCTTCAATGATATCTTGAAAGGATATCTTATGGATATCCTTGAAAGATATCTTATGGATATCCTTGAAAGATATCTTATGGATATCCTTGAAGGACATCTTATGGATATCCTTGAAGGATATCTTATGGATGTCCAGGTTGGTACCCTCCGCACATCCATTGGACGTCCATAGTATATCCTTTGGATATTTACTGGACGTCCATAGTATATCCAGATTATCCATAATGGATGTCCGATGGATATCCACTGGATGTCCATGTGTTATCTGGCTCGTATAGATACTCACTGTATTAGTTTATCCGGTAGAGTGACATTGTATATGTGACCCATAAATTTCTCATGAACGTAAGTTATTCCTCTAGCTAGGGTATCGTTTGACAATAGTTCTATTTCGGGTACTAATTTGCCAGTGAACCAAGCTACCAAAACTTTAGGATTGTTTTCCACAGCTAGAGAATAGTGCATATAAGTTACCCATGATCTTCCATTCTGCAACACAAAATAACAAATGACAATTCATGGAGTGATTCAATTTTTCATTGAAAATTTCACACCTAACATTTTCGACCAATTGGATGCCTGTATTTTGTATCGTTACCAAAGCAACCAAAACAGTTCTAGACATTTTCTCCTCCTCCTTGGGGGAAGTAGTATAAAATTACACTGGACATTTTTTTACGTTTATTGGTAAAACGACATTGACATTTAACTCAGATCATGACGAATAAATTCTATGAGTGTAAAGATTCCTTGCAAAGAAATATCTCTACCAACTTAATAAGCTAAATGAACTTATGAAGAACTGAAAGATTGATCGAGCTATTATATCGACTTATTTTTCATTATTTAATTGAACCAAATTCGGTTAATTATATTTCATCTAACCGAATAATATTACGTGAGCATATTTCACTTATTTTTTTTATTATTTTGTGTAACTGAAGTAGGTCAATTGTGTTTTATTTACCATAACAATTCATGGATGTGAATTTCTTTAGTACTACCTACATACTGTTTCGAGTTTCTTAAATAAGTTTCCTCCAACTTCATTGGAATGAAAATTAGTCAAAAATAATGGTTGGAAGTACCACCAGTTGCCAAATTTTTATTAACTGAAGTCGGTATTCTGTGTTTTATTTAGCGTAATCTTATACTCGTATATTTTCAATAATATTTCGGTGCGAAATTTTCTTACCGAATACAACTTTCTCTCGAACACGAATATTTAGATACTTCTCCTTCGTCTTTTTCCGGTAATAATTGAAGCTCTTGTGTTATTATAAGTGAAAACCTCTACAGAGAATGGATAAGCGGTATAGTGACTTCTGGTAAAACTAAGAATATTCGTGGTTATGTACGAGGATTTTTTAGTCACGCTAAGAATAGGGACATTTTTTCAATGAGTATTATCTTCTGAGTTCATCATTGCAAAAGAATATTATGTGACATGATTCGTGCCATTATTTTAGCTTTGACTGGATTTTATTTTTGTCGTGTGTGTTGAACGTCTTCACTGTGGATAACATTGCTTGTGAATGTTGCCCAACCTTTTTTCAGAAAGAAAACACTACAGGCACCCATAATAGGGACCGTCTTCAATCCCTCTTTACAAATGAGGTAGAAGCCTACACATTTTTTTTAAATGTTTCATAATAATAATAGGAATAATTATGGTTTTGTGATAATGATAAAGAAAATATACCTACCTCTGATGGCTATCGAAGCACTATATCTATCGATATACAACTACCACCTGTTAATTTATTATAAGAGATGGTCAATTTTTTCACAAAGAGAAAGATATGTGGAATTAGACGAAGTTCTTGTCTATTTTTGAATTCATGAAATTTATTAAAATTCCTATTTTATACCAATGCCAGAAGATTATTCAAAGAGATATGCTCGAGCGATTAACCATCCAAATTCTATATAGATAAAGGTACTTATGACCAACTTATTGGTTGTTCAATACAGTGACGTGCCCAAGGAGGGGGGATTTGAGGTTTGAACCCCCCCCCCAAGATCCGACCTAGCAAAGAGTGTCCGCTCTACGTTGAGCAGCATCCGACAAAATGCGGAAGATGAATTCAAACAAATTTTATTTGATGTAAATTCATTATGCGAAAACTATGTAATGTAGAAATATGCCTTGCACTACATCAAGACAGACACATAGAGAAAATATGCCATTTACAACTCCCGAAGAGTATTATATAGGCGAGGAATCTTTATTTCATTTTTAGACACATTTATTTCACATCCAGATGATCGATTTTTGAAACATGAGGATATTTCAAATAGTTCTGATGTACTACTCCCAAAAGATGAAATAAAAGTAGGCATAGGAATATTGAATAAGTTGTATACCGCCTACGAACACATTTTAGAAGTTCAAAGTTTTGATATTTTGTTCTGGGAGAAGTCACAACTATGGTACAGCATTTTGAAAGATTGAAAATTAACCACGAAAGATGCACTGATATTCGTCAAACAAAGAAATCGTGAGTTATTTCCCAATCTTTACACACTTTTCAAAATCTTCGTCACTATACCAGGTCAACCTCTTCAAATGAGAGGACATTTTAGCAGCTTTGAGCCTGTAGTCCGGGTGTTTTCAAAATGAAATGTTTTGTTTCTACAAAACTATCGATTCATTGATTGAAATGATCACCCCTCCCCACAGAAAAAAATCTTGGGCACGCCACTGGTTCAATATACTCAGTACTTACAAGATTGGGTCCGGTAGGAAATTCATTTATGGCACGTTTCCTGTCTTCATCGCTCCAAATGAGATTGAAACCGTTACAATCATTTTTCCACCATATTTCTGGATAGTGCAGAATCACCTTCATAACTAGACCGTAGCCCATATTTTGTATAGCCATCCTTTTTTTCTCGGGAAGCTTAGGCACGAACATAGAGTGCATTCTTTCTTTCAAAACCCCGAGGGACGGAGTGAATACAAGGTGATCCGCTGTCAAATACAAAATATTTTTTCAAGTTGAATTTTTTACACAGTAATAGTTTACAATTTTCAATAGGCGCTGTATATTGGATTTGTTCAGAATGAAATTTTCTTGAACTTTTCTCCTTACTGATTTCATCCGTTATACTTGCAGATTCATCAATACTGCCTTTCAAATCAATATCCTATTATGCGATATAGAAAAGGTGTGGAAACTAGTTTTTTTCATAAAAATCGACAAAAAGATTCCTGTCAGAAGAGTTAGGGCAACTTTGAATAAATAATGTACTCATAAAAATCAATACGAAATTATAAATTTCCCACCTCCAATTAACAGATACGATAATTCATCATTTTTTTTCTATTATTTTTTTTATCGCTTGGAGCGCACGAAAGGGAATCCCTATAATGTTCAAAGAACATCGTGCGTTCCTAGGGAGAATAGGGATAGGAGGTAGGTATTGGAATTTTTTTTGAACTTCTGGAGATTATACGTTGTTGGGAATACTTCCTCAGGCAATTCCAGAGCCTAGCCGTTCTATGGATGAAGGAGTTTTGATAAAGTGCTGTTCGACATCTTTCGAGGTTGACAACGAAAGGATGTGCTGACTGTGCTTGTCTAGTTCGTCTGACTGGTATTGCTAGTGAAGGGATGATAGCAGAGATTTATGAAGAACATTTCCCGTGGAAGTATCGACAGAAAAGTGAAAGGTCGCCGACCTTTCTACGGTGTTCCAATGATGTCAAAGAGTGAGTGAGTGTGGCGTCACCCACCAGGCGGATGGCTCTTCTCTGGATGGCATCTTAGAGCATCAGCGTATGTTTTGGTGCTGAACCCCATATGTGGGAACAGTATCATAGAACATGCCGTATCTAGCGGAGGGAGACCAAGAACCGTGAGCTAAAATCTAATATTTTTCCCGTGTATAATATATAAATTTTTGCTGCGACAAATATTACACAGAGATTTAAAGAGTTATTCATGGAAAGTGACATTTTATAACCTGCCAACAGAGATGAAATGCCAAACTTTTTTTCCGTCACAGAAAAAAATCATTTTTTATGTTGAAAACGGGAGCCCGAAACGTCCTAAAAATTTGATATTTTTTTCTATATTCCTTTACATATTTCTCTTCTCCAAACCTTTTTTAATACGAATTGTCATTGACAAGCTGGTGAATGATTCTTTTAGGCTCTCTGATAGAAAAATCCTTCAAACGCAGTGACATTTTGGGGCAAATCATCTGATTTGTCCCAACTACACGTATATTGAAATAGTATTCATATTTTGATTCTAAAGAGACGAGGAGAGAAAATCCCAAAAAAATCTGGAATAATGGATGTACCACCTCCTCGATTAACCTACAGACAGTATTTAGACAAACTGTATATAGTAAGTTATTGTTACCTCACCAGTGTAAGTAGATCCATCAGAACAATGGGCTGCAATACTATTCCTCGGTCTGGACTCATTCCAAGTTATCTCGGATACTTCTTTCGACAACAATATTTTGTCCTCAAACGGCAGCTGGTTCTTTGGCTCCGGGTATTTTTTCATGAGTACGTCGAGGAACGTTTTATATCCCTTGCCCTTCCAGTGCTGCACTAGATCTCCCTCACATTCCAGATAATCGCTCTGAGCCGTACTCTCGAACCACGTGGACGAACCTTCGTTGCTGTTCACCTCCATTTCGAAATAGTACATTGCTTCCTTCGCTATTTGGAGTTTCTTCTCGTCCTTACCGTACTTTTCATGAATTGTTGAGTTGAAACTGAAAAATTGTGTTGAAATATAAATATCAAAAAATATTGATTCGATTTATGGCAGCAATAGGTTTTTCTTCACATGGTCACTATAGGACCATCTAGGACTCAAGAAACTATTACCACTTCAGTATTAGTTTTGTAATTTTGCCTTTTTTCATAACTGCAAAGTTGAAATCTCAGCGATAGTCATTCAGTGAGTAAAACCTAGCTAGGTAGCTTCTACTATACAGGGCGTTTGGTTCACTGACGTATTTCTGAAAGGAGGTGATTGGTGAGAACATATATTTTACCATATATTTTTTTTATGTTCTGCTTCCCACGAGAAGGGATATCCTGTGATGTTCAGAGAACATCGTGAGAACCAAGGGAAATAAGGTAGGAACTGGTGTTCTTCCTACATTTCTGGAAGTTATATGCCTCGGGGAACACCTCCCTTGGCAATGTGTTGCAGAGCCTCGCTGTTCGTTGGATGAACGAGTCTTTTGAAACAGATGTACTGCAGGTCTCCAAAGTGATCACGAAGGGGTGCGAAGCCTCAACTCGACGGGTTAATCTCGCGGGGACTGCTAAGGGAGGAACAATTGTTGATATTTCAGAAGAGCATCGTCCATGAAAATATATATAAAATAAAGAAAAAGCAATGAAAATCCCAAAGTCTGTCGACCACAAAATAATTTAATATGCGACGTGTGTTACTAGTTTCGGCCACAGGCCATCATCAGACACAAAATTGATGTAATATATGAGTACCTTATAACATATTGAGAAAAAATTACAATTGAAGAGCTAAGTCAAAAAAATTCAGTTAACAGTCCAGCATATTCAAGTGGTTTTTAAATCTGGAGAATGTCCAGTAAAACCAAATTAAAATTGGGTTATTGGCGAAGTACATCAGAAAAAATTATTATTCAAAAATTCTCTCACGTAAGATTCATCAAGGAATGGCTTGATGAATCTCACGTGGGAGAATTTTTGAATAATAATTTTTCTGATGTACCTACTTCGCCAATAACCCAATTTTAATTTGGTTTTACTGGACATTCTCCAGATTTAAAAACCACTTGAATATGCTGGACTGCTAACTGAATTTTTTTGACTTAGCTTTTCAATTGTAATTTTTTCTCAATATGTTATAAGGTACTCATATATTACATCAATTTTGTGTCTGATGATGGCCTGTGGCCGAAACTAGTAACACACGTCGCTTATTAAATTATTTTGTGGTCGACAGACTTTGGGATTTTCATTGCTTTTTCTTTAAAATGAATTGGACCACTTTGAGAAAAATGGATGATTTCTATGATTCTATATATAAAATAGAGCAAGATCGCTAACTTTTCTACGGTGTTCCAGAGAAGTGAGTGAGTTTGTGAGCAAGGCATCACCCACGAGACGAATTGCCCTTTTTTGGACAGAATCCAACATTTTCAGGGTATGTTTGGGTGCTGCAGTCCAAATGTGGGAACAGTATTCCAGGACAGGTCGGATCTGTGCCTAATAGATCATAAGCAGCTGAGTGGAAGAGAAATAGCTCCTGGCCCGAAACAGAAAACCAAGTTTTTGGGATGCACTTTTAGATATCATCGTTTTTTCAAACATTTTATCTGATCGTATATCTTTTTTCTTAGAAAATTGAATACTTATATTCCATCGATATTGAATGAGAAATGGGATCTTATGAGATGAAAACACTTTTGGGCTTGTTAGAATTTAAAAATCGATTTTTGTATATCCAATTTCAAATTTATAAGCGATGATTTCTCGAAAAGTGTAACACTTTATATAATAGTATGTACAATATATGGTTCAAATTGTTTGAAATTACATAACTCTACCACCTCCTTCCGTATATATACGTCGGTGAACCAAACACCCTGTATACAGGGTGCATGTGTATTAGGTACTCGTACAAACTTCAAAGGGTTGATCTTTCACTGATTTCAAGATGAGAAGTTCATATGAATATGGGTCCGCAACGGATGTGTTTTTGAGATACAGAGCGTAAAAAAATTATTTTATTTGAAGTAGTTAGTGGTCATTTTCAGCAATAATTGATGTGAATGTTATAATAAATTAGTTCAGTATCAGTCTGAGTTTGTTATCTGACAATATATATAAGCAATCAAATATACATTTTTTCGAATATTTCTCACAAATTCTAACGCAAAAGTTAAACTATCAAAAACGGCTGCTTTTAGCGACAAACGCTAGGAGAACCTTTAGTATGTAAAACTGAATGGCTAATAGGTTACCTTAGTCACAAATGATATATAGTACGACACAAAATAGCTATGGTTAAATCCAGATACAAAGCTATAATGTGGCGCCCTCTAGCAATAAACAGAATATATTAAATGAATAATAAGTTTCTCTTTATCAAAACACCCAGCATCCCGAGTTTTGTCAAGTTGCCATGCTATTGATCGAAAATATGTACAAAAAAAAATAAAATAAGCATTTGGTGACCTACGTTCATATGAACTTTTTATATTGAGACTATAGTCGCACATATCAACCCTTTAAAGTTTGTACAACTACTTGATGAATACCCTGTATAATAACCAAAATGTGCAACTGTCAGGGTGTTTTAAAAAGTGATTATTCCGAAAGTATACTATTTCTCAAAATTACAAGATTTTTTTTATGTTCTGGTTCCCACGAAAAGGGATAACCTTTAATGTTCAGAGAACATCGTGAGAACCAAATGAAATGAGGTAGGAATTGGTGTTCTTCTTGAATTTCTGGAGGTTATATGCCTCGGGGAACACCTCCCTTGGCAATGTGTTGCAGAGCCTCGATGTTCGTTGTTCTTAACATTGAATACATATCCTTTTGGTAATGCTTAAATGTCTTTTTCTCCTAATGATATTAAAAGTGGATTTTCAATTACACTTAACAGACAGAAAAGGTGTACTTTTACTGACTAGACAGGAAAAGTTTGTTGCTATGCAACGTTCCACCAAGTAATTTGAATCAAATTAGTAATCAAAATTGACAAATGACTCTGGGTGAACAAAAAATGATGGATTATTTGAACTTTGCGTGAAATTGACAAGAATTTGGAAAAAAAAATTAATTGTTTCACATGGCAGAAAAGAAGATGTAATGCGGCATCAAATCTTGTACTTTTCTGCCTAGTAAAACAAATAACTATGTATGTATGTACCTACCTAACCACTGTGGTTTATACGATGTTGTCGCAACTTTATATAATAAGAAATATTATCCGATTTAGATCCTTTATGATTTTGTCCAAGGTTTTTTTGTAGACCGTGAATGACTGCTATCGAGAATTTATCTTTTGCGATTGTAACAACTACTGTCCAGTAATAATGAATGTATAGAAAATACGAATTGACATTTGCATGGACATTGAAAGAATGATCTCAGAATTCTGAGACAAGATTTCAATTTTTTGTTAATGAAATTCCCAATATCTCGAATACTCAGGTCAGGTTGGGGTTTTCTGATAGGATAAGAATAACTAATTAATCGCCAACGAGAATATGATCCATGTTACAGCAGACACCCTATTTAAATGTATTTGTTGAATAATGTAGATCAGATATAGCAGAAGTGGGCAGCTGCATTCGTACCTGTTTGAGTATGGAGCAATAACTATTCCCAGACAGCAGAGAATATTCTATTTTAGGGTATTCTTATAGAATGTTCTCAGAATGATCATAGAATATTCTCATCCTGCAGCGAATATCCTATGGATTTGACTTATTCTCAGAATATTCTTTTTGAATGTTCTGGGAATATTCTTCTTGAATATTCTAAAAATATTCAGAATCGTATCGAAATAAATGATATTGATGTTCACATTCTTGTTTCAATATTTTTAATGTTCACCCTGACCCAACCTATTATTCTCTGGCCTCAATGCTGATTATCCCACTAATTCAGTGTTGTAATCTTGTTATTCATTTTATTGATCAATAATGTTCGTGGCGAAGTGGTTAAGGTTTCTGGTTCGTGGAAATTCAATCACAAGATAGTAGGTTATTCGCATCTCCACCGGAGCAACCTTGTCTTAATCTCCTTCCTTCTCCTTCAATATACTAAGAATATTCTCAGAATATTTAAAACAGTCCATGCCAAATTGGTACGTCACACCGACGTGATTTTTAGACGTCATAGATACGTCACTGCAACGTCATTAAAGTGACGGTTTCAATATAGGTACACCTATATTATCATATATAGCTTGATTTGTTTCCAAGATATACAGGGTGTCAAAGTTTAAAAAAAGTTTTCTCTTACTTTTTGGTTATATATAATTCCAATAAAACTTGCATGTTGATTTGTTTTAATGAGTTATACTTATCTATCACCAAGACGTACAAATTTCTATATATGTGTGTAAAATTAATAAAAAAACGATTTTTTCTGAAAACTTTCCGACACTGAAAATGCCCATCCTGTATATATAGGTACGTCATCGAACTAACGGTTTCACAATGTGAGTATACATGGTTTAGATATGATCTGGGTAACATGGGAGTCGTCAGGACGTCCCTGCAACGTCATGAAACTGACGTCTTATTTTACCATTTCAAGTGACGTTCACTTGACGTCGAGATGATGACGTGATTCTCACGTCATAGAAAGTACGCCATAGTGACGTCATAAATTGGTGTGTGACGTCTCTGACGAAAAATCGCCAATAAGGGACGTCACAGTGACGTGATCATTCGTCATATGGTTGCCTGGGAATATCCAATGAACGTTCTATGAATGACATTGTGCTATCTGGGTTGCCAAAAATCATTCGTGTTTCAATAGTGATCCTAACATTACATATAAAACTAAGTATCTCTGTTTCATTTTGATTACATTCTAAAGACACCCTTACCGATCCTCGCAAAAATCACCAATCGAGATATATCGATCTGGATAGTCCCCATCGACTGAATAAACCCCATCCATAGCCTCCATCAGCCCCATGGCAAACTCCTCATCGATGACCGTCCTTGACGAATGATACATCTTGAAGGGAATCTCAGTGTGGCCCAACAAGTCCAGCCCTTCGACCATTTGGTAAACGACGTTGCCGTTTTGTCCGTGGCACCATCTGGCCCCTAGATCGACGAAAGCGTCACCAAAGAACACGCTGTTTATCCTTCCGCCGATTCTGGGTTCCGCTTCCAAAATTTTGACGTTGGAATAACCGGCTTCCATCAGCCTACGGGCGGTTGAAAGTCCGGCAACACCGGCACCGATGATTAAGATCGAGGGATCCTGTTTTGCTGTCCATGCCATGGAGAGTAGGGCCAAAAGGGAACAAATTGTTGCTGTGGGACACTTCATTTCAGTATGCTTTTTTGTTATACGGGCTCACGTAATTTTCAATCTACTCCACTTTCCCGACTATTTTTCCTGTTTTAGAAAAAAATCCCAAATCTAGTGTACCGTCTTCGTGACAAACTCGTTTGACTAGATTTTTCTAGGAAAATAGTTTTGTGTTTTTAATAGTTGAAACAGATAACCGATAACCTCTATATAGGACCAAGATTCTATTATGCAATATTTCGTACCAATGGCGGATCATCGGAGCCTATAGCTGATTTTGCAACTGCAATTACCATTGATTTTGTTAAGGTTTTGGAAAGTCAGTAGGAAGTTAGGAACTTCCACTTCCTTCAGATTGGAAGTTCATACTCATTTATATTGAACATTTGTTATGTTTGTGGGGAACTTTCCCACTCATGTATTGTAATGTTGAATTTGTAAATATCTGTACATTTAATTAATTTGTCTGTATCATAGTAGATGTTACTCTGTACATTTTCATCTTGTATTGAATATCAACCGAAGTGTCTATAATGGTTTTTTTTTGCACCTCTCTACTAAATGCCAACAATATTTCCAACATTGATCTTTGATGATCATCTGGCTAGGAGGGTAATACCCTAATAATAATTGTTATTTACTGGTAAAGCTTCAATAAAATAATTTATAATAGGATTGATTCATAGGCAGTTATTATTCTCGAGCCTCCTGAGTGAACGGAACAAAACCATCTAAATCGTCTCATCCACAGTCCGCATACTTTCGTGACAACAACACTTCGTTCGCTTTGATTTTTTTTACAATATACGATTCAAACCTATAGTGTTCGGCTTTGCCCCAACAAATAAACAATCCCACAAAAAAGGCTATTCAAAAAGGTGTACCTACAGTTCTTCCTCAACTGATACGCCAAACGTTAAACATTTGATCTTATCAAAATAGTATATTATTTAACAAGTGTCATAAACGTCCTTTTAGTAACGAGTATTTTAAGCACGAGCGGAGCAGAGCGGAGCGAGTGTTTAATGAACGAGTGTCTAGAAGAGTTTATAAACGCGTTACATACTATGCTTTTTTTACGAACTCCGAAAATTACATTAACATACCTGCTATTCCTGCTAACCTACAAAATAATTCGAAAGGAATGGAAATTGAGAACATAATACATGCAACTGCATGCAACCAGCAAGACACGTATATTATTGGATGTAGATGTGTCCAGTCCATTGCTTCCCAACCTTTGTTACACGTTTATTGTCATGCTTAGCGCAGAATAAATAAATTGTTCTCAAAGATGGATGCTTCATTTTTACACTTCTAGGAGAAATGCAAGTACCAGAGAACATTCTCTTCAATTTCACTTTCGTCTACATTTCGAATATATTTTGAATTAAGAATTCTGATACAAACGAATATTGTTTGAATAATTCTGATACAAAATTTGAAAATAACAGTTGACAATTAATACAATTGACAGGCCAGACATGTCTCAAATTACTGAAGCTGTGTTTAATTAACTGTGTTGCCATGGTAATGTGTTTAAGAAATCGTGTTGCCATGGTAACGTGTTTAATATTTTGAATAAATCACAGATCGTCAATCCGTGATTAATCGATCATTTAGCGTGGTACATATCCGTATGCTAAATGCCATTTTAGTTATGTGAGTAGAAAAACATGTTTATATTCTTTGCCTTGATAATATGTTGAATCTCAAAGGTCAGATTTTTCGGACTGTTCAGTCGCTATGAAAAATGATTGCTAAATCACCACGATTGGTATCAGGCAATTTTACATATTACAAAAAATATTGAACACATAAGTTGAAGGGTTTCATTCCGTCTCTTTCATGGTTTGAGTTTCATTTATACAGAGTGTCTCAAAGAAGCATCATAGCGACTTAGAAGTTTATTTCTCCGAATGGGACATCCTGTATATCATTTCATCATTGAATTTCACGTTAAATTTTGAAAAAAGGTTGATGGAATGTTTTATATCATGTGAGTTGTTGGTTTTCGAATTATAACCATCACTTGTAAATTATTATGTCGACTATTCTTGCACCAGTTCAGTAGGAAAACCGTAAAAAATGGAAGACGATGTATTTCACTTTTCCATCCTGTCCTTCTGAAAGCTTTCAATATTTTTTTGTAATATGTAAAATGAAGAAGTCATGGGGGGAGGGAGGCGACGAACTTTTGGTCCACACTGTATTGTCACGAGTGGCTCTAACGCCCACTATCGCAACTCGAACTTACTCGCTTGCAAGAGGTTTTTTTGAAAATGATAACTAAATAATTTAACTCCACTTCACAAGTTTATTCATTTTGAATAAAAACAATTAGGACATGAAATAAATTGACCATTAATTATCCATCAGCAAGATACATCCAACTCAAATCGAAACAAAACAGGAAAACTAAAACTAGTAATACTCAAAAAAGGTACTTACAGAAGGGCTCGCTTTTCGTTGATGATGCAAATAAGTTTGAGATTTACTTCTATTTGATGATTTGAAAAGACTTTACGGTCCACTGTCCGAACGACAACTGCCGGTTTTTTCTCTAATACTTTTTCATCTTGGTTTTGGTAGTGGTAATTGATTCAGCATAAAAACTAGTGTATTCACCTCGATTAGGAAGAATCCAAAACAAGCAATTTCTACTTGAATAATAATAAAATTGAAATCCGAACTATAATTTCCTTTGAATATCGTAATTCTCTACTGATATCCTGTAAGCTAAATAATTCTAAGAATATGATCTAGACTAGGTTATTGTACTGTTCTTGAATGGAATGAGAATTTCAAATATTCTCAAAAAAATTATAGTTTTTATCCATTCTTGACAGTATAAAAACGCGTATGTTGTTCTACACCACTATAACGATTTTTCCTAAGTATGACTTGTTTTTGATACTTAGACTTTGTGTTATAACCTTTTAATTGTGTTATCTTCGTTATTGTGGAGAATTTCATTTCATTAGAAATCAATAATTATTATTGTAGGTTTCTATATACAGTGAGATATATTGGTTGTAACTGATAAAGTGTTACTGAAGCGATGAATGGGACTTTGATCGCTGAATTTTCCGGTTAGTAAAAAGATGGCCAGTTGGGCAAATGCCAAATAGTGAATCAATATTGCACGTGACTCTTCTTTCAGTTTCCCTTCAGTATAGGTACCCGAATTGCACGTACAATAGAGCTATATCTTTTATCAGATAGCACGAGTACGTCCCCAAAACGTACTAAGAACGTCCAGCCAAGACGTTTCGTACGTACTGGTGACGTCCAGATTAGGACCGTAGACGTACTGGGTACGTACTGGGGAAGTTCAGATTCCGCGCGTTTGTACATCCCCTAGTACGTCTATTCAGTACCACCAATACCTGAATCAACGTAGATCCGCTTTTTTTTACTTAGATAGAACAGAACCCAGAACACTTATTATCATATCAGTATTCAACAAAAGATTATGTGCGAATATAGATATCAAGCGAGTCAAGCAAATATATACGCCTGCAAATGGTCATCTACTCCACCATTGGTTAGTATCGACTGTATTACCCTTCGTAAATCATCTTTTTTTACTCACATAACTAAAATGGCATTTAGCGTATACGGATATGTACCACGCTAAATGATCGATTAATCACGGATTGTCGATCTGTGATTTATTCAAAATATTAAACACGTTACCATGACAACACGATTTCTTAAATACATTACCATGGCAACGCATCTCATTAAACACAGCAGAGCTTCAGTAATTTGAGACACGTCTGGCCTGGCAATTGTATTAACTGTCAACTGTTTTGTATCAGAATTACTAAAACAATATTCGTTTGTATCAGAATTCTTCATCAAAAATATATGCGAAAAGTAGACGAAAGTGAAATCGGAGAGAACGTTCTGGTACTTGCATATCTCCAAGAAGTGTAAAAATGAAGCATCCATCTTTGAGAACAATTTATTTATTCTGCTCTAAGCATGACAATGATCGTGAAACAAATAAGGTTAGTAAGCAAAGGACTGGACACATCTACAACCAATATCACTTATGCGTGTCTCGCTGGTTGCATGCAGTTGCATGTATTATTTTGTAGGTTAGCAGGAATTGCAGGTATATTGATGTTATTTCCGGAGTTCGTAGAAAAATCATAGTATGTAACGCGTTTATTAACTCTTCTGGACACTCGTTTATTGAACACTCGCTCCGCTCTGCTCCGCTCGTGCTTAAACTACTCGTTACTAAAAGGACGTTTATAACACTTGTTACATAATATACTTTTAATGCTTAGGTAGTTCTCAGATTCATATGTCAATACATGAATCGTCAAGTACAGCCAGATGCAAAGAACATGTCGTGGTTGTAGAAATGACTAAAGGTACTATCACCGTCCATGTTCATTGCATCTGACTGTATACCTTCTGTATCGTTTTTTCGATGTTGAATCTAATATAAAATTCTGATAATCCATTAGTGACAGATTATTGAATCTGGATTTTTGCTGTCTCGCACCCTATACCTACATTGATCGTGAAAGAAACTCCTTTCATTACATTATTCTTTTTCTCGTACCCATTTTCTTTCGAACTTTCCAATTACAATTTAGTGAAAACTTTTGCTTTTCAACCAGTAATTATATGCTCTATAGAAATATGATTAATATGACCTCGCACTAATGAACTATAGTAGGTATATCTATGTTGGCTAAGTTTGCTTCAGCAAGACTCAGAAATAGTCAAAGACGATCCACCGCATTGAATATCGTATTTGAGGACCATGAAGATCAGTTGGACGAGAAGAATTACTCCGAAGTTCGGTGAGTAAAACAATTTATTTTTAAAAGGGGTTTAACCCTATGAGCGATCATTGGGGAAACAAGGAACGGCAGAAATCAAAATACTCGAAGCTAGCTGAATAAATTTAAGATTTTTTTTCACGGATCGTTTCTAGGAGGTTGGATCTAGGCATCTCCCGGAGTACTTTTTCAAAATTTTGAAAAAAAATAGTCGAAAAAAATTCCAGAAAATTGACCAGATTCACTATTTTTTTTCTTACTAGGTATATTTTTTTTTGGAAAAGTACTTCAAGAGATGCTTCACTTTACATGTATCTTAGTTGTCAAAGAAATTTGCAAGGATCCATTCAAAATATCACCATCAAAAGTGATTTTTGCTGGACCTCTGCAGACGCAATTTTGGATCTATTTTCTTCACTGATACGAGCGACCTCACACGAAATATGCACTTCTACATGGATACTATGAATGGTTGAATGAATAGTGAATTCATTCATAAAAAGTAGCACTGAAGCTATTCAGAAAATTTAAGCACTGGAGATGAAACCAAAAGAAGTTTTAGATGGTTTGATTGAATTTTTGAATACGACGTATAGGTACGTTTATTAGGTAACCCATATAATAAAAATAAGTATGGTTTGTAGGTAGGACCCCAATTCCAATTTCAAAATGCGAATATATGGAATGCCAGAATTACATTAAGAATTTGCCTTCTGGAAATAGATAAACAGAAAAATCTCTCATTGAAGAATAATAGTTTCGCTCCAGGTGACTCATCCAATTAGATGATTTGTAAATGTATGCTTTCCTAACCCCGCACAAGTTTCGACTTATGGGGCGTTGGATCCAGTGCTGGGTCCAACGAGGAAATGCGAAAAAAAAATATTTATGAGTATATTCCTGTTCAATAGAGTATAGACAGTTCAACACATCCTTGAAATATTCCTCAACTGAAAATCACTCCATTATTGACCTATTATTGGTAATTCTCACACGGACAGGTGGATCTGTATTTCAAATTTTGAATTTTATTTCGGAAGGTCCTATTTTCAAACCTACCCCTTCTCTTTGGAACCATGAAACCTCTGGGATATGAGCCGGTATTTCTTTCCTGTATCTCCGATTGATTCATCAATAAAGTTTATCTGGATATCGCGACTAAAGAAAATAATTCAGGATAATTTGCCTAGGTAGAAGATCGTGCAGAAGAATCCATTCAAGCGCAAAGAAGTATTGCAATGAAACTTCTCTTCATGGCTTTAGATATCTGATGAAACCTTCATACGGCGAGAAAGTTTTCTGGAGCTTGGTTTGTATAATCTGCACCATTTTGTGCGTACTGTTCATCTACAATCAGATGATACGATATCAAGAGAATAGAGTCACCACCACCGTTAGGACTACGAACTTTCCAATATGGGAAGTGCCTTTTCCAGCTGTCACTATTTGTAATTCCAATGTAGTATACAAAAACCACACAACACAATTGGTCGAAATTCTGTGAGTAGATACCGTATATAGATACCTATCAATCGATAATTATTTTTTCTCCAAGCGTGCGTGAATCACCCTGTACCTGTACGCAATTTATTTTGGGAAGTGTCATTTTACATTCATATAATATTCTCGCAACATATGAGTTGTGGGTGAAACAATATGAAAATTTTTGTTTTTTCTTGTTGCAGTATTTACTAGTTTGTACAAAATCATCCATCAAATTGCACTATTCATTGTTAAAACTAAGAAATATTGAAAAATAAAAATTGATTATTATATGTATAAATCCCCTTATAGCCTTTAATTGATCTGATGATGTTGGAAACAAAGAGAAAGTATTTTTGGAGAACGTTCCCCGAGCACGAACGAGCATGAACGAGAATAAACGAGCATAAACGAAAAAAACCCGGGAATTCATGTTTGAGGTGTAGTAAAGTATCCAAAAACATACTTTTCGTGGTTCTTCCTGAAAATGATCAAAATTCTCAAATTGCTGAAAATGCTAAAAATGTTCAAAATTCTCCTAATGCTCCATAAGAAAATGACACGCTGTATCGATATTCTGTGTTACAACTAATACAGTAATAAAGTAAGAATTGACTTCTATACTATAACATGATAAAAACCTTTATATAAAAATTAACTGAGAATAACATGTTTTTTTTTTAAATTGAAATTGAAATTTATTGAATTGAAATTGCATTACATGGTGAAAATCAGATAACAAACATACATATTATACATACCCATACATTAGTTAAATATTATTATTATTATTAATTTCTTCCATATCCTAGACGCAGGACCTAAGTGCATGAGGCATTTGCTTTGTTCTGCATCTAGGATTGTCGGAATGGTATTGTGTGCCTACATGGTGTGAGTGGACATGAAAATTCGTATCTATCATACCATTGTACAGTCTTGTACTAGTTCACATTATTATTGAACCCTCACAAGATCCTGGAGGCTAACCTAAATGCTTGAAGCATTTGTTTTGTTCTGTCTTCAGGATTGTCAGGATTGCTGTAGTACTATGTGTGGTTTGAGAAAAGATATTTATAATAATAAGTGTAGGTCGGGAGTTAGAGGTTGAGAGCTGGATGGGTTATTTTTTTTTTTCAAAATATTAATGTAGTGTAATTTGTGGTAATGTAGTTTTTTATTTCATATTTGAATTGACTAAGTGATTTTTTTTCTTTTATGTTCCTAGGCAGTAAGTTATATAATTTGGGACCGAAGTAGATAAGTGTTCTTTGTGTATGTGATTTTTTGAAGATAGGGAGAGGCATATTTAGATTTTCTGTTGATCTGGTGTTTTGTAGTCTATATGGGATATCTGTAAGTTTGTTTTTATAGACCCATATTAGGCTGTTGTAGATGAATAAGCTTCTTACATTGAAAAGTTTCGTTTCTTTGTACAGTTGTTCAGTGGAGAACCGTTTTTTCTTATGAAAAATTATTTTTATAATTGTATTTTGCATTGCTTGAAGACTTTTGAGGTTGTTGTCGAAGAGTCCACCCCATACAGTAATGCCATATCTAATGATCGATTCTGCCAGAGAATTATAGATTATTATAAGATTGTTTCGGGTAAGTATTTCTCTCAGATTGTATAGTTTATAAGTGAGTTGTCTTAAGCGTTTGATGACATGACCAACGTGTTCATCCCATCTCATATGTTGGTCAAGTATAATTCCAAGGTATTTTAGTTTTGACTCCTTTTCTATGGTTGGGCAAGTGCACGATCTATCATGCGCGCACGATCGATTTATCGTGCGCGAACGTTCCCCACAGCACGAAGGGAACGTTCCCCCCTTCACATCACTAAGCTCACCTACTTATAATGCTTTAAACGGTACACACAATAGATATATCACTATATTAGAAGATAGTGAATATATCCCTATTGTTAGTTGTTCCTATTTGCAGGAATAATTGATAGAAAAAATCAATCAATTTCCTACGCTTGTAGAAAAAATATTGTTCCTAACTCATGCGGAAAGTGTCTTTCCCGCAGTCGACTGCTTGCCCGAGCTCCGCTTCGCGTCGTTCGGGTCAACGGCATTCGCGTGCGGGAAAGTATCACTTTCCGCACTTGTTAGAAAAATTACTATTATCTCATCTGTAAAATATGATCATATATTCCAGGGAGCATCATGATATACCAACCGAGATTATAAATAGCTATTTCGCCAATTTATCTTTGGTTATTTTGAATAGGAAGAGATCGTATGATAATTTTGATCATAATGATTACATTCAAGTTACCAATATATTAGAGGCAGAGGGGTTTGATACGGAGCATCTCATGGATACTGTAAGACTTTCTGATTATTCGTAAATCAAATAAGAAAAAGAAACAATGGATATATGGAATGAGGTTGTCAAAGTCATTCTTGATGTACAAATTGCAAATTATTATTTTTTTCAAGTTGGCTCAACCATGCAGTAATATGTTGGTGAAATGTGAATGGAAAACATCCGAGGTTGACTGCAAGAAGCTGTTTCAGAAAACGAAAAGTACTGGAGGGTTTTGCTGTTCTTTTAATTATAAAGGACTGTTTGTTGGCGATTAGTAAGTTTACTTTCCATTAATTTGTAGCTGACCCCCCTACTAGGTTGGATAGAACACTGCAAAATAAGTTGGGTTTGCTCAGTAACAAAATGTCGTAACGGCATCCGTTTTCAAGATACAAGGTGTTGAAACAATGTTTTTTTACACATTTTTCATGATTATGTCCAAACTACTGGTAACATTGTGGTGACATTTTGTATGAATGTGTGTTGAAAGCAGACACATCGCATGATTTCGTTTTTATACCTGACTCTCATGCCCTCTAGTTACACGGTTCGTACCGAATAGTTTTGATCATAACTTATTTAAGGTTAGATTTTTCGATCCAAATTTGATGTGAACTCAAACATTTTCGAATTCAACACCAAATAGGTACCCTTGATAGAACTCAATACTGCGTTTCCTTTTCGTAATATTTTGATTTGAAAATAATGGACTCTCATGAGACGCCGTTTGGTTCATAATTATTTTTTTCGATGTATAGACATTTTAACTCAAAATATAGAAAAAATCCTATATAATATACGAATTTGTCAATATTATATGCAAAATTTCTTATATCGCGTGAAAAATGTTCTATATATTTAAGTGCGACGAAATTTCAATATATATTAGTATGCCTCGCGCCGTTTGGTTCATAATTATTATTTGTAATATATAAAATTTTTACTGAATTTATATAGAAAAAAGTCTATATCAAATGCACAAATTTTATATATGACGAAATCTTTATATATTTGCGTGTCAGGAAAGTCTATATTTGCGCGTCGCGAAAGTTTATATTTGGTTGTACCAGTGTGTGCAGAAATAGACTTTCGGGTTCCAGGGTTTACCGATAGGTGGCTGAACGCTGCTGGACGTCAGCACAGAATGAGGTTAGAGGATCTGGCAACACTGATATTATTATATTCTGGTTGTGTCCAAAATACTCATATATATTATTATATTCTGGTTGTGTCCAAAATACTCTTCTGCCTAGAATAGAGAAGAAATGGAGAAAAATGAGAATACATTTTTCTATTTTACATAATCTTAAACCTCACAATAATTTTTTTTTTTCGAGTAAAAATGTCATTCCCAACGGTTTCAGTGGAAGAGCTTCTCAATGAAATTGTTGAATGTGACGATAATGTGGTGAATCTACTTTCTCAAGGAGATTCTTCAAGAGCCTTATCTCGAGCTCAGTGGAAAATTGAGGACTACTGGAGGTTATTGAACATATTCATTGATAATATACTGGCCTGTGAAAGGTTGAAACAGTTATTATCATCAGTTTACAATATACTGTTTGATATTTATGGTCAAATTGAGCATGTTCTCAACACTGTTGAAGGTTGATTCGCAGGACCGAACCTTTGTCTATTTTACTTCATCAACTAGCAGTAACAGTGTTGGTCCCCCAAAGTATGATATTTCAAAGGAACAATTAAGGATTTTAAGAACATCAGGTCTGAGTTGGACCAGAATATCAGGATTACTTGGTGTCTCTAATATCAGTGTTGCCAGATCCTCTAACCTCATTCTGTCTACACACACACTGGTACAACCAAATATAAACTTTCGCGACGCGCAAATATAGACTTTCCTGACACGCAAATATATAAAGATTTCGTCATATATAAAATTTGTGCATTTGATATAGACTTTTTTCTATATAAATTCAGTGAAAATTTTATATATTACAAATAATAATTATGAACCAAACGGCGCGAGGCATACTAATATATATTGAAATTTCGTAGCACTTGAATATATAGGACATTTTTCACACGATATAAGAAATTTTGCATATAATATTAATAATTTCGTATATTATGTATATAGGATTTTTTCTATTTATCGCGTTAAAATTTCTATATATCGAAAAAATAATTATGAACCAAACGGCGCCCTATAGACTCTTGACGTGAATTTACCTCTGTGTAATCTATGCCTTTAGTCAAATTTGTTTCAATGTGTTTATCATGATATTCATTTTTCTGTCAAAAAGTTTAGCATTATTAATGTATTGTTGTTTTGTGTTTTCAATAAATAGGTGATAGTTCTTCACAGAGCCGAATTTAGAGGTCTGGAGGCACTGGGGCCACAAAAGAGTGGAGGCCCCCTGGCTTCTAATTGTTTCCCATATAAAATTAACAAATTTCTTGGTCAATAAGTATTTGCGAAACCAACTAAATAATTTCAACATATACAGGGTGTTTCTTAAGAACATGTTAAAAATTCAGGAGCATGTTCTAACGTTTGAATAAGAAGAACAGTTTTTTTGAACATAATGTCCACAAGTTATCCATTCTGAGATACAGAGTGTGAAATTTTGATTGTTATTTCAGTTTTTTGTGAATGAATTAAAAAATAATCGTGATATTCGGGTGAGATACCAAATTTCTCTCTAATTTAACGTTCATTTCTGAATTTACTCACAAAAAACGGGAAAAAGAAGCAAACGTTGACACTTTGTATCTTCGAAATGAATAATTTGCGGACATATGTTTACACGAACTTTTCTTCTCATTTTGACGTCAGCAACATGCTCCTGTAATTTTTACGCATACTTACACTCAGTAGAAATATTGTCAAAAACGAGAATTATCTGAAAGAAAGTTTTGTCCCATCGGAGTTCGAAGCCTATTTTTTATCAATTTTATTTTTGACAATGAGCGTTCTCCAGTACAATTCGATGTTATCAAAACCAAATACATCCTCAGTGCAATTTAAATTTTTGGCAATGTCATTCTTGAACTTTCATCTTCAAGAATGTCGTACTAAATACCTTAGTAGATTGGTTTTTCTATAGTCCTCTTTGATGAAAACGCGGAAACGAACACACCATCTGAGGCTACGGACAAGTATTGTCCCACTCAGACATTGGAATACCTCATCAAGATGGGTAATAAATGGCAACAACTGCTTATCAGGGCCATTTCTACAAATTGATATTTCCAGATTGAAGTGAACAAATATAATAGAATTATTTTTCAATATTTAAGGATAATATAATCATATTTCTACTAAGTACTAAAGGTAAAACAACGAACTTGACTTTTCCATATGATGTTCGAGTTCATATCAAATTAGGATTCAAAAATCTAACTCACCAGAAAAAATAAATGCATTCGATGTATCTGCTTCCAAAACACGTCCATACAAAATTTCATAACAATATTGCCAGTAGGTTCGACAAAATCGTGAACAACGGGTGAAAAAACATATTTTCAACACATTGTATCTTGACACGACACAAATTTTTTTTACTGAGCAAACCCAACTTATTCCGTAGTGTTCTACCTACCCTAGCAAAAGGGAGTCAGGATTTTTTTCAAACACCCTAGGTAGAAGGGTTTTATCTAAAAGTTTACCTTTCGATTCTCAACTGAAAGTAATGGTAACGTGATCACGTGACTTATTCAAGGAGATGGATCATGAATATGACTAAATTTTGTATGTATTCAGATGACAACTTTTATATTGATTTAATTTTAGTGGCCCAACAAATGAATCAGAGAACGTATATGTTGGTGGTGTTGGTAGTTCTTACGGCTTGAAAGTATACTTAGATGCGGAACTTTCTCAGTATACGACAACAGAAACTGCTGGTTTTTGGGTACATATTGATTCTTTTTTTTGCATGGGTTAAAAAGAAATTACATTTTCCTAACACTATACACGGTGTTTCATTGGGAGAGGGACACCTCCTGAAAATTCGATTGACCAGGGTGTAGTTTTGATCACACTCACCAACTCTTTGACCCCATTAGAAGACCGAAAAAAAGTCGACGACCTTTCACTTTTCTATAGATACTTCCACGGGAAATGTTCGTCAGAAATCTCTACAATCATTCCATCAGCCACAGCAGCCTCCGCCAGATCTCCTCTTGTATCCATGTTTCGACAGGTAAACGAACATAATGTATTTATAAATATCGATTGGACTCACTCACAGAAACCTATAGAACTGCAATATCAAAGCACATTCTAGCTTTAACAATTTGAGGTAGCCCCATTTATCAATTCATTTATCAACCTATTGATTATTATGAAGAAATTATAAATATCGAAGCTGATCAATCCTTGATTCAATGATTATACTCACTAAGTAAAGGTATATTAAAATTTAATTTTTGATACCTATATGTTAAATGTTGGTATAGGCATCATTACTATCGATCTATGTTTTGAAATATGTTATTTTTATGTTTGATTATCCATGTAACTAACAATAAATGAATGAATAAATCAGTAGCAATACCAGTCAGATGGACTCGACAGGCCCAGTCAACACACCCCTTCGTCGTTAACCTTGAAAAATGTAGACCAACACGAACGAACGGCGAAGCTTTGCAATTCTTGGCCAATGGAAGTATTCCCAAGAACCTATGACCTCCGAAAGTTGAAATAAACTCCAACACCTATTCTTTCTCCCTGTCCTACCTAGGTAGGCGCGATGTTCTACGAACATTATAGGAATTTCCTTTCGTGCGATGGACCTGCTTTCATTTCAGAATGGAGATTATTGTTCCGAATCTCAGAAAACTATTAAAGGTATCTGTTGTAATGAATACTCAGTATATTCTGTAGCGATGGGATCGGGGAGAACAACAACATGCTTTTGTCATAATACATTTTGATGTAATGTCATGATTTTTAAATAAAGTTACATAACTGAATCTTATCCTAATTTATATTCAAATAACATAACATGGCGCAGTCGAATAGTCTTAAACAGCCCAGTCCCATGAGTATGACAGGTGATGCAGGAGTCAACTGGAAGAAATTCAAAAATAGTTTCCAGATTTATGCTGTAGCTAGTGGATTCAACCAGAAAGAAAAAAACGTTCAAGCCGCGGTTTTGTTGCACTGTTTAGGAGAGGAAGTTTCGGATATTCTAGAAATATTGGAGTTGACAGATGATGAGAAGAAGGATTCGGATAAAGTTATTAAGAAATTAGATGAATATTTCGTTCCAAAATCAAATATAAGTGTTGAAACATATAAGTTTAACACAAGAAATCAACATGCTGGAGAAATATTTGAAGATTATTTGAGAGATCTGAAAAAACTAGCAAGTAATTGTGAGTTCGGAACATTTAGAGATAGATTACTGAAAGATAGGATAGTCAGCGGTGTCAGAGATAAGAAGGTAATGGATCGTTTATTAAGAGAACCCGATTTGAACTTAGCAAAGGCAATTGATATATGTCGTGCGGCTGAACAGACAGATAAGTATATAGAAGAAATGATGACCAATACGAATATAAATGAAATCAATGAAATTGGAGACAGGAATCGTCGATCTCAAGATATAAGAAGAAGTTATCAATATAATAAAAATAATCAAGAGTACGGTGAGAAGACCAGCCAATATAAAAGTAATGGTGGAAAAATCACTGGTTTTCAAGAACAATCAATTCCAGGGCCTAGTAGAAGAATTCAAGAACAGGATTTCAATAAAGCTACTTGTGGCAGATGTGGTTTGAGGCATTTTTTTAACAGATGTCCAGCTTTTGGTAAAAAATGTAACAAATGTCAAATATTTGGTCATTTTGCGAACTTATGCAAAAAGGATATTAATTCCAGAGTTCATACTATTTGCAATGATGAAAGTCATGAAAATGGACATATTTCCAGGGATTCTGAAGATATTGATTATATATTGGGAACAATACAGATAAATATGTTAGAGAATGTTGAGGATGATTGGTATGAAACTTTATTAATTCAAGATTGTAATAAACTTATCAAATTTAAGCTCGATACGGGGGCACATGTGAATGTTATTCCAGAATATATCTATAGAATACTGAAAATAGGTCCATTGAAAAAAAATTATATAAATATAACTAACTATGGTGGTCAAAAGTTGAATGTTCTGGGATCTTGTCACTTGAATGTAATTTTTCGTGAAAAAAAGTATATTTTGAACTTTGTGGTCATCAAAACTGAGAATAATGCTGCACCTATTCTTGGAATTCATAGTGTGAAAAAATTGAACTTGATTACGAGGAATATTTTCAATATACAGAGCATTTCAGATATTTTCACAAAATATGAAGATTTATTCACGGGAATAGGTAAAATTTCTAATAGTCCTGTGAATTTCAAGCTGAAACAAGTGTACGAACCTAAAATTGTACCATGTCGTAGAGTACCATTTCAATTAATGGATAAACTGAAATCAGAATTAGATAGAATGATTAAGGATGAAATTATCATCAAAATTGCAGAACCTACGGAATTTGTTCATCCAATAGTCATAGTAAAAAAACCTGATGATAGTTTACGTATATGTCTTGATCCTAAAAATCTGAATGAATCTTTGATAAGAGAGTATTATGAACTTCCTACGTTTGATGAGATTACTAGAGGTATGTGTGGGGCAAAAATATTTTCTACGTTAGATGCAAATAAAGGATTTTGGCAGATCGAATTATCCAATTCAGCTTCTAAATTAACTACTTTTGCCACACCTTTTGGAAGGTTCAGATTTTTGAGATTGCCATTTGGAGTGTCGAATGCACCAGAAATTTTCCACCGAACGTTCACAGAGATTTTTGAAGGTATAGAAGGTTTAAAAATATATATTGATGATATTATTATATTTGCTAAAAATATGATGGAACATGATGAAATTTTAGAAAAAGTGTTGGCTAGGGCTAGAGAATATGGTGTCAGATTCAATAAAAATAAATGTAAGTTGAGAGTAAAGGAAGTCAGGTATGTTGGTCATATTTTATCGGAAAAGGGTATCGAAGTAGATAATAATAAAGTAGAGGCAATTAAAAAAATTGAAGTTCCAAAGAATACAAAAGAACTGAGCAGATTTATGGGAATGGTGACCTATGTTGCTAAGTTTATTCCTAACTTGTCCAAACTCACAGTGAATTTGAGGAAATTGATGAAAAAAGATATATTGTGGGATTGGAATTCTATTCATCAAAGAGAATTTGATCACCTTAAAGAGTTACTTATCAACAGGCCAATTCTACAATATTACGATGGACATAAGCCCATTGTTCTTTCAGTTGATAGTTCTAAAGACGGTCTCGGAGCCGTAATATTACAAAATGATGCTCCACTGGCTTATGCATCTAAGAGTTTGACAGATACTCAACAAAAATATGCCCAAATAGAGAAAGAAATGTTGGGAATCGTATTTGGTTGCCAGAGATTTCACCAGTATTTGTATGGGAAGTCATTTTTAGTAGAAACAGATCATAAGCCACTGGAGGCTATTTTCAAGAAACCTCTTGATAAATGTCCACTTAGATTGCAAAGATTAAGAATAACTCTACAAAATTATGACTTTGTTGTTAAGTACAAACCCGGTGTTGAATTATACTTTGCTGATACATTATCAAGAGCTAGTTATGATGACCATAATTTTGATATCATTGAAAATGACCTGGAGGTTCAGGTGAATTTAATTGATTATAATAGTATCAGCCCACAAAAATTTGAAACAATGAGAATTGAAACAAACTCTGATGTAGAGCTAGCAGAAGTGCTTAATTATATAAAAAATGGATGGCCTGTACATAAAAGAGACCTTAGTGATCTCGCAATGCCATATTGGAATGTTAGAGATGAACTTGTTGAGCAAAAGGGTGTAATATTCAAGGGCAATCAGATGGTTATTCCCAAGAAAATGAGACCAGATATAACTAACAAATTACATTATAATCACATGGGCATTGATAAAACTTTGTTGCGAGCAAAGGAATTAGTATATTGGCCTTTTATGTCTAAAGAAATATCAGATAAAGTGAAGAATTGTTCTACATGTTTAAGATTCATGAATAGTCATCAAAAAGAAGAACTGATCAATAAAGAAATACCACCTCTTCCTTGGCATACGGTAGCAGCTGATTTTTTCTGTCTAGATAATAAACAATATTTGCTAATTGTCGATACATACTCTAAATTTCCAGAAATACGATGTCTTTATTCGAATACGACTTGTGATAATGTCATTGATGCTACAAAATCTATTTTTACGATTCATGGTAAACCTAACACCTTGTATACAGATAATGCTCCACAATTTGTGAATTTCAAATTTCAACAGTTTCTGAAAGACTGGGAGATTATACATAGAACAAATTCACCTACGTATTCCCAATCTAATGGTTTCATAGAGAGGCATGTGCAAACAATCAAGAAATTGTTAAAAAAAAGCTATTTATGACGGCAAAGACTTTTATTTAACATTACTAGAATACAGAAACACACCGATCAATCATGATATTCCATCTCCGGCACAACTTTTGTTTAACCGTACTCTTAGAGGTCACATACCTATGAAAGAATCATTATTGAAGTCTCGTGATTATAGTAAGAATTATAAGAGAATATTTGTCAATAGCCAACACAAACAGAAATCATATTATGATCAGAATGCTAAAAATTTACAGGATTTATTAGTGAACGATTCAGTAATGGTTCAATTTGATAATATATGGGAACCTGCGAAAGTTATAGAGGTAGATAAAAACAGACCAAGATCATATTTAATAAAAATTGAGAAAAATGGTAAAGTTTTTACTAGAAATAGAAGATTTCTGCGAAAAGTCAACCGAAATATTTCTTGTGATTCGTCAAATTTTG